CATTTGTACCTATTGATATTTGAATTTATTAGTTGACAAAGTTTTTTTTTTCCTTTTTTGATTTACCCTTAATTGACATGATGCTGATAAGCTTATCTGTATATATAAGACAGCTCAAAGCTCATAAGTGTTATCTCATGTTCATGACAAACCCCTTATTTGTTGGAAAATCATTTGCTATAAAGTAAATTGTATAATATTGATATTATTGAATAATAATGCTCGTATTTAGACATTACAATACCGTTTTGCAACTTAAAAGAGTTAGAGGTTTTATAAAACATTTTAGCCATCTTCTTCAATCTCCACCAAATCCCAAATGGCCAACTAAACGTCCTTTATTGGTCAACAATACTATTCATATGATCAGATAAACTCAAGAGTCTGTAGTCCAAGATTAAAATGTTGTGATTATATATAAACAATCCTTTCTTGACATGAACACTGTATTAAAAAAAAACAATATTGTAACCGTCACAACAATGATTCTCTGTGCAAATTCCTGTAAGAAGAATAGGATGATATGTGTGCTGTGGATAATTAAAGTTTTGCTGTTGTGTTGTTTAACTAAGTGGAATTTGTGCTTTTTGCTATCTCTGCAAATTGCTCCAAACTATTCTTGATCAATCCTTGCATTAGCGGTTGAAGCGCCTGAAGAAAACAAAAAACGAATGATTACAAGACGTGCAAGGGTTTAAATGTTACCAGTAGATATGATTTGAAACATTCATTTTTGTTGATTAACTCTCAAAATATCGAGATATTGATGAAATTTACAGGTTGAATAAAAAATGCTTACTGTTGCAAATGGTATAAGTAGCAGCGGAACCTCGTATGCAAAGGTTAGCTGCAAACAAAGCAATGAAGATTGGTAGAATTTTATCCATTGTTTATGTAACAAATCGCGTATAAACAAACTAAATGGGTAATATTGTAGATCATCAGGAACTCGTAAACCAATGAACTATGGTTGAGAAAAATGAATGTATATCAACAATGGAACCTCACTTCTACATCACATGATGAAGGTCCTAGTGGGAAAAACCGAACAGTTCCCCTGTAAACAAAAAAAAAAGCAAGACCTTCACATGAAGCTTGATTCAAGAGATGAAGTTTCAGACTCATTGATTCATTTCAATTTTGTTTACCTGTTAGGAAGGCCTTCTAGAGAAATCCAGTGTATTTTCTGGTTCAGGAGAGGCTGCAGGAAACAGAATCTAGAAAACATTATTATGTAAGAATCCAAATAAGCCGTTTAAAACGTTCTCGAGATCAAAAACCATTCAAAGTCACAAAATAATTTTTCTTAAGATATCTACTTTTAAACAGTTGACGATACTTGCCTGCAAATTCTTAGCGAGCCAAGAGTACTCTAGATTCTGACCAAATGCTTTATACTTCAAGGTCCATCGAGATAAATCGGGTTTGTCCTTCAGTACCTGCAGAGCTAAGCCACAACATCAAACACCTCCTAAAAAAAGAAAAAGAAAATCCATGGCGTTTCCATGTTCAATAGACAAACGAACAAAATACTCATTTACCTTCACGGATGAAATGAATGACATCCAACTAGGAATCGATTCTCGATCCGAGTAGAGCCCATAAGCAACTGATACAGGCACTTCAACCTTCATCTTTACTCTGAAATTCTCCACAGCATTTTTAGACTCAGAGAGAAATGTTCAAACACTTGCTAACATAGAACATTCTTGACAAGAAAAAGCCAGTTTTTATCAAATTAAGACAAGGAAAATTCAATATCGTACAGTAAAGCAGCATTTTGAAGAAGCAACATGCCTCTCCAGAGCAACCATTGATCGTCATAAGCAAATCAAAATCAGAGAGAAACAGTGTTTTATAATGATCTTTTTTATTCACTCTTCTGCGATTCAGAGAAACAATAAACTCACAAATGCGTGTACGTTTTGTAAATCTAGCTAAATTACTCGAAGAGCCAACAAAACATTCAAGTCAGAGAGAGAGAGAGTCAAGACAAGAGCAGGGGAATATGAATCGCTTACTTGCATTCTTGCCACTCCATGAGAGTGTCGAATCTCCTGGATAGTGAAGAATTAAAAGATCTATTCGGTAAAATCAACGGGGAAAATCTAGAAGCAAGAGGCGAAGGCTTCATCAGAGAAGAAGAAGAAGAAGAAGAAGAAGAAGAAGAAGAAGAAGAAGAAGGAGGAGGTAAATATCTCGAACTGGGTTTAGCTACGGCGTTTCGGCATCGGAATTTCCGATTAACAAACCCGGCGGCGAAGGCATTTGGGTTCGGAAGAGAAACAATCGCCGTCGCAGACATTTTCTTTCTTCGTCGTCGTGTTTTCTGTGTGACTTTCTGTTTTGCCGGCGAAAGAAATGGAAAGAGCGTGGCGTTAAAAGAGTATGAAAGGAGGAGGAGGAGAAGGAGAAGGTTGCTTCTTGTTTTGGTGATGTCACGTGTCCTGCTTCAAGAGGTTGCAAATTCTTCAATTCAAAATTCTTAAATGGGCCCGGAAAAAGCTTAATGGGCCAAAAACGAAGCCCATTTGAGAGTGTTGAAGACCTCCGTCTTCCTCCCTTCTCTCTCGCTCGTTCTCTCCCTGAACAAGCTCGGTGAGAATGTCGGCGAGAAGTAGCAATCGATGTAATTTCTGGCTTCCGAAGAAGAAAAGATCATGCGCCAATACTCGAATCGAGAGTTCGTTGTAAGTTCTATATACTTGGAAGTGAAAATTTTCGATTTTATTTTATTTTCAAATTAGTCAGGAGCTAATTTTCTTAAGTAATCAAACAGGTTTTGTGGAAACCATAGCCAGCGATTAGATGGTCAGTGGATTCCATGCCCTATTGATCCTTCTCAGTAAGTAAAAGATTATGTTTTTTTCGAAGATGTTAATTTTGCCATTCTCTGCTCTTGGTAGCAACGGTTTGATTCGAATTTTTCTAGCTCTGTGTTGCAGGAGAATCTCGAAGGGCATGTCAAAAGATGCCCTTTACTAAAACAAACGGTAGCATTGTCTGGTCAACAATTTTACCACAAGGGTATTAATGCCGGAAACGAAGAAGAAGAAGATAAAGAAAAGATGGGCTCCTCTTGTTGTCCAGATTCTGTTGTTACTTCAGAAATGAAGAGGAATCTACTTTATAGTATGAGTGTTTCTAAGTTTCATCAGCTAATTAAGAAAATTGAGTCGGTTCATGGCGGTATTTGTAAAGATATCGAAGATTCGTATCTGTCACCTGAAGCTTGTAACATATGGTTTACTAAGGAGATAGATAGGTAAGGGTTCAAAAGTTTGTAGCTTTTGTTCTTGGGGTTTGGTGAATCAGAGGAGAAGTTCCTTTTTATTACTGATATGTTCTGATTATTGGGCAGGAAACTACCGTTTCAAGAGAAACATGTTTTGCAGCAAGGTTCGATTCTTGGTAACTTGGAAAAGATTGGTGCATTGAAAAGGTGCAACAAAAATGTGGAATGTTGCGAAAGCAATCTGGATAATAAAGATGAGAATGTGTCTGCGGTTGTTGAATTTGGAGCTGGGAGAGGGTACTTAACACAGATGCTAGCAGATTGCTATGGGGTCAAAAAAGTGTATTTAGTTGAGAGGAAATCTTACAAGCTTAAGGTTGGTTAAGCTTGCTCGTTTGTGTTCATCCCGTTTCCTTTCAGTAGATTATTTCTCAAGCTGCAGTTGTTTTGCTACTTCTAGGCTGATCGGTCACTGAGGCAAAAGGAGAACTTGGTATTAGAGCGTATGAGAATCGATAGTAAGGTTCCTTTGAGTCTAATACATTTTCTTGTTTTACCTGTATTAATGGATTGAAAAATAAAACCTCTTTGTGTTTTCAGTTGAGGATTTGAACCTTAACGCGGTCGAATCTTTGCACGGTGTTCCTTATGTGGCTGTTGGGAAACATCTCTGTGGTCCTGCAACAGGTCACTACATGTTTATGTCTTCACTCTTACACAGTTCAGATTTTCACTTTAATATGAGTGTCTATGTTGCTAATCAATGATCATTTGTATGTGATCATAGATTTGAGCCTAAGATGTTGTTTTTCTAGACAAGATGATGAAAGCCCGGTTCTGAGAGGTCTCGCCATCGCGACTTGTTGCCATCATCTTTGCCAATGGAAAAGCTACATAAGTAAACTCAGTCACTTCCTCTTTGGTCTACCAGAGTAGTATAGAATTCTCCATCAATGAAGAAATGTCATTTTTCTTTTTTTGTTTCACAGATAAAGAATATATCATTAGCCTTGGGATGTCCAAAGACGAGTTCCATACCATGACTTGGTTCACTAGCTGGGCTGTAGATGATGATCACGGTTCCAAAATTCCCGGTGTTGACGACATTGACCTTCAGGCTTCAGAGTAAACATTTCTTGGATTCAAAGATGATAAAGGTGTTACTTGAAATAAGTTATTTCATCTTGATTGTTTGTCGTCTGATGCAGCAGTACAAAGGAGGAAGAACAAGTAAAAGGAGTGGAAGATGATTCTTTGAGGAGCGTTGACGAAGTTGTGAAGAAAATGAAACCCATGGAAAGAGCTGTTTTAGGGTTCAAGTGTAAACAGATCATCGATACGGGGAGGATGTGGTGGGTTAAGAAACATGGGTTAGATTCTAAGCTAGTGAAATATATACCGGCGAGCGTCTCACCGGAAAATACTTTACTAATCGCCGGAAAATCCACTCCTTCCTCTGCTTGATGTTGTATTGTCGTTAGTAATTCAATACTTTGTAGGTGAAGACCAGTAGAAATTATGGTGCAAGTCATCACTTTTGATTCATAAACTTTATCAGCTTTTTTATATATTTATTTCATAAAATTGTTACAACTTTATGTGCTTGCTTCTTATCTAAAAAGAATCTTAAGAAAACAAAAATCAGTTCACAATAAGGTTAAAAAGATCCTATGGAGACTGCAACGTCATCACACACGCACGCACGGATCATTTTGTTCCGTTCACACACGGTCAAATACTTAAAATAGTCAAACTTTTTCGCCACGTCATCAACACTCTATAAATACTCCAGTCGGTTACCACCACCGATTCAATAAAATCTACGGCAATGGAGACTCCAAGTGGCACCATCATCTTCACCACCGTTGGTCGAACTCACTACGGCTTCGACGTCTTCTCTCTCCACATCAACTCCGCCGTTGAGCGCCGTTTAACAGACGGCGTTTCCGTTAACTTCAACGCTCAGTTCGCCAACGATAACGGCGATGTGGTCTTCGTCTCGGAACGAGCCGGGTCTGCCCGGATTTTTAGAACCCGACCCGGAGATTCAAAGCCCGAGCAGCTCCCCGGAGCTCCGCAAAGCTTCTTCCACGACCGTCCAGTCATTACTCAAAACAACAGACTTTATTTCATCTCCGCTCACGAGCAGCCTGATCGTCATTTCAAGAATTGGTCCGCGCTTTACTCCGTGAAGCTCGACGGCGAAGAGAGAGAAGTAACACGTGTCACTCCACTAGACACCGCCGATTTTAGCCCGGCGGTTTCTCAATCGGGAGAGCTTTTGACCGTCGCGTCGTACGGATCTCGCTCTTGGGGCGGTGAGTTTCACGAGATCAACACTGATATCGTCGTTTTCAAAGCATCTGAGCCGGAGACGAGAGTGGTGATTTGCGAACACGGCGGATGGCCGACTTGGTCCGGCGATTCCACCGTTTTCTTTCACCACAAAGCAGATGATGGTTGGTGGAGCATTTTCCGGTTAGATATACCAGAAAATTTTGAGGTGAATTCCGGTTTTCCGATCGAACCGATCAGAGTCACTCCTCCTGGTCTCCATTGCTTCACTCCTGCAGCTTTCCACGACGGGAAACGAATCGCCGTCGCAACTCGTCGTCGCGGAGTCAAACACCGCCACATCGAGATTTTCGACATTGAACGCAAAACGTTTCAGGCGGTTACCGAGCCACTCAATCCGAGTTTCCACCATTACAGCCCCTTCGTGTCTTCTGATTCCGAGTTCCTCGGCTACCACCGATTCCGAGGCGAGTCGACTCAGGGCGAGTCCACCGTTCCGAACCTGGAATCGATCGTGTCACCGATCAAAACCCTCCGCTTGCTCAGATTAAACGGATCGTTTCCATCATCATCTCCTGACGGTGATCTGATCGCGTTGAATTCCGATTTCGACGTCAACGGTGGCATCAAAGTCGCCAAATCTGACGGCTCTAAACGATGGACGTCGAATTGGGGTTCAACTAATTCGCGTCCTCGTTTTCAGTCGCAGACAGCGTCTGATGCAACGACTTCCTCACAGCTTGAGACCGCGTCTTCTCGCGGAAACTTCACCAAATCTGCTGTTCCTCCTGATTCGATCGCAGCGTCACGTCCTCAGCAAACTGGTGCTTTACGTTGTTTCACTTGTGGGGAACAGGGTCACCGCCAGACCGCCTGCCCTAATCAAACTCGCCGCGGTTTAGTTACTCTTGAGCACGACCAGTCCGATGAACCTCGTTATGATGAATATCATTCTGATCAAGATCAAGACGGTGACGTTATTTCATGTGACACTGGACATGCCTCGCAAACTCTCGTGCTTCGCCGTAATTGTTTTGCTCCTCGCGTCGTAACAGAATCTTGGCTACGTACTACCTTATATCGATCAACCTGCACCATTAATGGGAAGATTTGTAAGCTCATTATCGATTATGGTAGTTGTACAAACGCAATTTCTGAAGACGCTGTAAGAAAATTGGGGATCCAAACATTAGCACATCCTGCTCCATATCAACTCGCGTGGCTTAATACGGGTTCGGAAATTTTGGTTTCGCAACAGGAACTTGTTCCTTTTTCCATCGGTCTATACAAAGATTCTGTGAGCTGTGATATTGTCCCCATGGATGCCTGTCACCTCCTTTTGGGTCGTCCGTGGGAATACGACCGAGATGTGGTGCACCGTGGCAAGAGTAACACCTATACTTTTGCTTTTAACGACCGTACAATTACGTTGGTACCTACTCGCGAGCTTCCGGAGTCTGTTGTTCCTTCTTCACAGCAACCACAGAAGACACCTCACATTCTTCTAAATCCTTGTTGATTTTACCGAAAGCTGCTTTTGAAGAAGCACTCGTAGGATCTGATATGGTGCTTGCGCTTGTCAGTTCTCCGGCTGTGTGTTCTTCGTCCTCTCAGATACCATCAGCTTTCTCGGACTTGTTACAAGCATTTGCTGATGTTTTTCTTGCGGAGTTACCTTCGAGTTTGCCTCCGTTACGTGACATTCAACACCATATTGATCTTATGCCTAATGCAGTGCTCCCAAACAGACCACATTACCGCATTGTTCCACAAGAACATGACGAGCTGCGTCGTCAAGTTGAGGAGCTTCTCCACAAGGGTCATGTTCGCGAAAGTCTGAGTCCTACAACTGTTCCTGCCCTGCTCATTCCCAAGAAGGATGGAAGCTGGCGTATGTGTGTTGATAGTCAAGCTATCAACAAAATCACAGTTCGGTATAGGTTTCCGATTCCGCGTCTAGATGATCTCCTTGATCAGATTGGGCGTGCATCTATCTTTACCAAACTGGATTTAAAGAGCGGTTACCATCAAATTCGTATACGGCCTGGTGACGAATGGAAGACAACTTTTAAAACTCGCGAGAGTCTCTTTGAGTGGATGGTTATGCCGTTTGGATTGTCCAACGCTCCAAGTACGTTCATGCGTGTGATGAACCAAGCCCTTCGACCTTTCATTGGCAAATTCGTGGTGGTTTATTTTGACGATATTCTGATATTTAGCCATGATCTCTCTAGCCATTTGGAACATCTTGAAGCTGTGCTGCTTGTTTTGCGCAAGGAGAAACTTTTTGCAGCTCGACAGAAGTGTGTTTTTGGGGTGTCACATGTCCTTTTTCTGGGCTATATCGTCTCTGCTCGAGGTCTTGAGGTTGATCCAAGCAAGGTGGAAGCAATTAAATCTTGGCCAACTCCTCAGACAATTAGCGAGGTTAAGAGTTTTCATGGACTTGCTTCCTTTTATCGATGCTTCGTACATCACTTTAGCAACATCACTGCACCGCTTACTGATTGCATCAAAGGTTCTTCGTTTGTCTGGACTGCCGAGGCAAATACAGCCTTTGAGACGATCAAAGCAAAGCTTACGTCCGCTCAGGTTCTTGCTTTACCCGATTTTTCCTTGGTTTTCGAGTTACACTGCGATGCCTGCAAGTTTGGGATCGGCGCTGTCTTAAGTCAACAAGGTCGACCTGTAGCTTTTTATAGTGAGAAAATTGCAGGTGCTCGAGCTCGGTATAGTTCCTATGATGTGGAGTTTTATGCCATTGTTCAGGCCATTCGACATTGGCGTCATTATCTTTTTCATCAAGAGTTTATCCTCTATACAGACCATGATGCTTTAAAACACTTAGGAAGTCAAGAAAAGATTTCAGCAAGGCATGCTTCATGGATTGCCTTTCTCCAACAATTCACCTTTGTCATCAAGCATCAATTGGGTTGTACTAACAAAGTTGCCGATGCTTTAAGTCGACGCCATTCCCTATTAGCGACACTTCATGTCTCTGTTGTGGGGTTTGCGGCATTTACTGAGCTGTATCCTAAGGATCCTTTTTTGGGCGTATTTGGTTGGACTTGACGTCCGGGAACAAGTCTGAGTATGTTTTGCAAGATGGCTTTATTTTTCTCCATAATCGTCTCTGCGTTCCTGAGTGTAGTTGGCGTTTACAAATTATTAAGGAACTTCATGAAGAAGGACACGTGGGGCGTGATAGAACTTTGAAGCTGGTGGCGGATTCTTACTTCTGGCCGACATTACGTCGAGATGTTGCTCACCATGTAGAACGTTGTGTGACTTGTCAACGTTAAAGGGTCATGCGTCTAACAGCGGTTTGTATATGCCTCTGCCTATTCCTACGCAGCCGTGGACAGACGTCAGCATGGATTTTGTCTTGGGATTGCCTCGTACTCAACGTGGTAATGATACTATATTTGTGGTCGTAGATCGTTTCTCCAAGATGGCTCATTTTATTCCTTGTAAGAAGACTACAGATGCGGTTCAGGTGGCTACGCTCTTCTTCCGTGAGATCTATCGCATTCATGGGCTTCCTTTGTCCATTGTCTCCGATCGTGATTCTCGGTTTTTGAGTCATTTTTGGCGCTCTTTGTAGCGTTTTCTCCGCACAAGTTTGGATATGAGCTCTGCATACCATCCTCAATCTGATGGCCAGACAGAGGTGACTAATCGTTCTTTGGGTGATATGTTGCGATGCTTGGTTGGTAACAACATCAAGTCATGGGATTCGATTTTGTGTAAAGCTGAGTTTGCTCACAATCATGCAGTTAATCGGAGTACAAAATTCAGTCCATTTAGGGTGGTTTATGGTCTTGTGCCTCGAGGCCCACTTGATCTTGGTGTCGCACCAGATGGTACACGAGATCATGGTCACGCCATTGACTTTGTATCAGACATCTCTTTTGTTCATCAGCAGGTGCATGATAATCTCCAAGTCTCTTCTGCGAAGTACAAAATGGATGCTGATCGCCATCGTCGTGATGTTCAGTTTCATGTCGGAGATCTTGTGTGGGCTGTTTTAACAAAAGATCGTTTTTCATCCGGTGAATACAACAAACTTAAAGCGAGAAAGATTGGTCCTCTTGAAGTCTTGGAAAGGATTAATGCAAATGCATATCGTCTTCGCCTTCCTTCTGATATTCGTTCGTCTGATGTCTTTAATGTCAAACATTTGGTTCCATTTGTCGCGCAAGATGACCCTCAAGATTCAGGGACGAATCTTTCTCTACCCCGGGTGACCTGATGCAGCGTATCTACGTCATTCCTTTTCTGTTTTGGCTTTGGTTTTTAATTACATTCATTTTCTTTAAATCTTTTCCTTTCTTTAGATAAACTTTGATTTATTCCTTTTCTTAATCGCTTTAGGGTTTTACTCTTACTATAAGTATAGTCAATATCTCAACTTGTGAGAATACGACTTATTGAATTATTAATCTAAGAAGCACCTTGCTCTCTTAAACCTCTTGCTTTCGGCTAGAACATCGGTTCTCAACGAACTCAAGATCGTATATTTCGTTTGGGCATTCGCAGACTAAACAATCGAAATCACAAATCTTATCGGTTACTATCCTTTGCTCTATCAAGAGTGACCGAAGAAAATACTTTTTCTTGCTTTGTAAGTTAATTTACGGTCTCTAATTTACGATGCTTTGAATGTTAATTTACGATCTAAATGTGAATGTTGTTTAGAAAAGTATGAAATAAAACTATCAAGCAGATTGGAAAACTTTTAAACTTTAATCATTACTTTTGCGTATAAATTTCATTATAAATGATTTTAGTTCAAATACAAAGACTCCAAAAAAGATCAAAAGCAAATTCAAACCACAAGAGAAATAGAAGAACTCTACGTCGAAGTAATGGTAGCTTACGAAACAAAAATCTAATGCATCCAACTTGGAAAACCCTATGTAACATATGATTGACAGGTATTCTCTTTCATGACACTTCAAGGCAAACCAAATTTCAGTTCAACCACATTTGATCAGAAGGAGCCCAGAGACAAAAAGTTGAACTCAGATAATGTTTTATGCTAGTTATGTCACCATATCATATTATTCCAGTTATATGCATGTGTAAGTAAGTACATATATGATATATAAACTTCTATCATAACAATTTATACTAACGATTTTATTTCAGAAATGAAGAATATGTCGCAGAGAGAAAATGTCATGGGAAAAAGAACGAAGAAGAATATCAATAACCTTTTGATGATGGGGTGAGACAACAAGTGAATTAACATAATTACATAACCACTCTTGTTATGTTTGTTCTACATCATCCGTTGTTTTGCTCTATCTATTTGAATGTCTTCATTTTTTGTTCAAATTTGAATGTCTTCATTTGGAACCTTTTTTGTGTGGTTATCAAACAACATATATAGAACAAAATTAATTATTGCAATTTCAACCGAGCAAAACAACATCTAAGTTGAAATAGTCTGTTTCACTTTCTACTCTATATTATTACACCAAATTAATAATCACTCTCTCAAGCGAAACAAATCACGGTATCCCACATTTTCCTATAAGACCACCTAACAATAACGTCGAAGGATCTGATTTGAGACATGAGATCGAAGGAACAGAGAACTCATCTGTCATCCCATACGCATTCCAACAGAATGGATCCACAATGATTTCGCCTTTCGAGGGCAGCAATTCAATACCCGAAAGTGTTAAATTTGTACACGGGACATTATTGCTGCATCCAAAATGGATAGGAGGACTACGAATATCATATGTACCTTTTATACTTTGATATTTTATATCATACACAAAAACCGCTGATGTTTTGTTAGCACAACTCTTAGCTGTGCAATAGTATTGATCGATGATTATCGGATTTCGGACAGTATCCAGTTGGATATTGTCGAACATTACACCAGATACTGACCCAGACCCACCTTGCCATGTCTTGATACGTACGCCATTGTCAGAAAATTTTATAACTGACTCTCTAACCGTAACGTTTGAGACGCACGCACGTGAGTTTTGGTTGCCTAGACTTCCAATGCTACAAATTATTAACAGTAGAGAGAGAAAGTAAAACTTCATTAATGAAAGAAAGTTAGTTACATTAGTTAACTTAATTCCCCTTATATAGTATCATAGGGAATGTACAATATGTATCATATATGCTAATAGACCCCCCTCAAACCGATTCTCCCGTAGGAAGAAAGAGGTTTGACACTGATAAACGACTAAGTATAGAGTGGAAGGGTCCCGGATGCAAAGCCTTAGTCAATATATCTGCAAGCTGGTTTTGAGAAGAAACATGAAGAACCTTCAGAAAACCATTCTTGACTTGATCCCGAGTAGTGTGGCAATCAACCTCCACATGTTTAGTCCTTTCGTGGAATACTAGATTATTAGCAAGACTCATAGCTGACTTGTTGTCACAGAAGAGTTTGGTTTGAGAAATAACCGGACAATGCAAGTCTACCAAAAGTTGATGCAGCCAAATGAGTTCGCCTGTAGCAACAGCCATTCCTTTATATTCAGCCTCTGTGCTACTTCGTGCCACAGTCTCCTGCTTCTTCGATTTCCAGGTAATAAGTGAGTTACCAAGGAAAACACATAAGCCAGTAACGGATCTTCGTGAGTCAGGGCAAGTTGCCCAGTCAGCATCCGCAAAACCATTCAAACAGATATCAGTCTTAGCCGAGTAGAAAAGACCTTGGCCTGGATTATTTTTGAGGTATTTGAGAACATGGTAAGCCGCTTGAAGATGAATATCAGTTGGACATGAAAGGAACTGACTAAGACGATGCACAGCAAACGTGATGTCAGGTCGAGTAATGCACAGGTATAAGAGGCGACAATGATCTCTCGATATTGAGTTGCATTCTCTAGAGGAGTTCCTGTCTCTTTACTCAAAGCAACCTTGGGATCCATCGGAACCGTTTTCGGTTTACATCCCAAAAGACCTGTATCTTCCAATAAATCCAGGCAATATTTCCTTTGAGATATAGAAATACCTGTGGAGTTGCGAGCAATCTCCAGACCAAGGAAGAATCGAGCTGGGCCTAGATCCTTGGTTTTGAACTTCCGAGCAAGTGTCAGCTTAACCGAGCAAACAGCTTCATCATCATTGCTTGCAATGAGGATATCATCAACGTAGAGTTGAAGGGCTATGAATGATGTTCCTCGAACTTTGACAAATAATGTTTCATCTGCATAGGATTGAATGAAGCCATCTTCAGTTAGAGCATTCGAAAGACACTTGTACCATTGCCTGGACGCTTGTTTCAGTCCATAAATGGACTTATGAAGGCGGCACACCGGATTTGGAGGTAACGATCCAGATGACACTGTATATCCTTGAGGAAGACTCATGTAGATTTCCTCCTCTAGATCACTGTGTAAAAAGGCATTCGTAATATCCATCTGATTGAGACTCCATCCGTTACAAGCTGCCAATCCTATAACCAGTTTCACCGATGCCAGTTTAGCCACAGGGGAAAAAGTGTCAAAGTAATCAACACCTTCTTGTTGGATGAACCCCTTGGCTACGAGTCTGGCCTTGTAGCGCTGAACAGTACCATCGGCATTGTACTTGATGGTGAAGACCCATTTACACCCCACAATATTCTTCCCTGGGGGTAATGAAACCACACTCCAAGTTTTGTTTAGCTCCATAGCATGTAATTCCACATCACATGCTTTCGTCCATTCCTTTGATGCCATGGCTTGCTTAAAGGTTTTCGGTTCTGTCTCATGGGAGATAGAGAGAATAACAGGCTGGTATGGTTTATTGAATTTGGAATAGTCAAGGTATGAGGAGATGGGATATGGAGTGGTGGTCATTTCAGGTGGAGGTGTAGTGTTTGAAGATGAATGGCGAGTGAGGGAACAGTGGTAGTTGGATAGATAGCTTGGTGCCCTTATAGTCCGTTTTGGTCTGGCTCGAGGAAGTGAAATACCTGCATTCTCTGTAGTAACTATCACAGAAGCCATAGATGATTGACTAGAGCTACCAGCCATTGTGTTATGTGATGCAGATGTATGAGATAAATGAATATCAGATGATGAATGAGATGTATAATCATTATCAATAGAAACCGGAATTGGATTTGGAAAAATGAATCTCTCAAAGATGTCATCAGTGCGAGCTATATCAGATGATTTAAAAGGAAATATGTTCTCATGAAAAATCACATTTCTAGAAACAGAGACAATGTTAGAATCAAGATGTAAGACTTTGTATCCCTTATACCCTGATGAATATCCTAGAAATACACACTGTTCAGCTCGTGGAGTAAATTTGTGCCTATCTTTTTGTAAAGTTGAAACGTAGCACAAGCAACCAAATGACCGCCGAAATGCATATGCAGGTGGTTTCTTAGTAAGTAACTCATAAGGACTCAAGTTGTTTAACAAAGCAGATGGTATTCTATTTATGAGAAATGCAGCTGTTAAGACACAATCACTCCAGTAAACTATTGGAACATTCGACTGAAATAACAATGCACGGGCTACATTTAATAAGTGTTGATGCTTTCTCTCAACAACAGAATTCTGTTGAGGAGTATAAGCACAAGAGAACTGATGAATGATACCGTGTTGTTTAACAAGATCATTGAAAGCAAGTTCAGGAGCATTATCTGTTCTAATCATTTTAATAACCGCATCATACTGAGTTTTGACAAGAGTAATAAAGGAAGGAAACATACGAGAAACCTCACTTTTATTCTTCATCATATAGATCCATGTTACCCGGGTACAGTCATCAACCAAAGTGAGAAAATATCGATACCCTTCAACAGACTCAATAGCAAAAGGACCCCAAACATCTAAATGTACTAGTTCAAATGGAGATGAAGACATATGGTTATGAGACTCAAATGGCAATCGCCTTTGTTTAGCAAGAGGACATACAGGACAATGTGATTCAACAGACAATGAGGACTTGGACACAGGAATTACACTAGAAAGACTCTTTAACTTGTCAGAGGATGGATGTCCAAGGCGCTGGTGCCAGAGATGACCATCAACCACCAAGGATCCCATGAAATGTGATGAAGATGCATCATGTACTTGTAAAATGTATAAGTTGTGTAGAAGAATGCCTCTACCAATCATCAAGTCCTGAATACACTCCTGAATATAACAAGAATCCGCAAAGAAATGAGCTGAACAGTTTTGGGTTTTTAACAAACTACTAACAGATAGAAGATTGAATCTGAAAGATGGAACTAGGAGAACATCATGTAATGTCAATGTGGATGTTAAATGAATCGTGCCTGTGTGTGTAATGGCAACTCTAGAACCATTGAGCAAAGAAACAGTTACATCAGAGACTGCAGTAATTTCACTAAAAAGACCCAAATCAGAACAAACATGACAGGTTGCACCACTATCTATTATCCAAGAACCAGCAGGAAGAGTGTTGTATAAAGTGGATAGACATTGATGTTGAAAGGTTAATCTGTTATTCTCAAATCTCAAAGAGGTGGAAGGAAAAGAGATGGTACCCGATGATGATTGAGCAGCCATGACACCATGTTCAGTAACGGAAGACATTGGTTGATCCACTTGACATTGAGCTACAACCGGTTCAGTGATCTTCATACGAGAGGATAGTTGATGTAGTAAGTCCTGAACCTGATCATTATTCATCGAGCTGACATCCAATGATGATGTTGGATTAGCCGGAGGAAGGGAAAGATAGCCATCACTCATGACATTAGCAACACTAGGTGGTCGAAAAGTGTTATCCACTTTGCCTCTCGGTTGAAATGTAGTTGGTGTTTGCCCTCGTGGCTGAAATGTTGTAGGTGTTGTAGCTCTTTGATTCTGGAGATGTGCCATCGTGCTCTTGTAACCCGGGATATACCCTGGAGGATAACCATGTAGTTTAAAGCATTTCTGGATTACATGTCCAACTTGTCCACAATGAGTACACATAGGTCGTTGTTTAGGCCTGTAGTTATTTTGGAATGCGTATGCAGCATTATCAATATCTCCAGTATATTGTGAAGCATCATAGTTAGGTGCAGGAGCAGAACTCTGAAAAACGGCAGTCTCAGGTCGACTGTAATTCTTCATAGTCTTTTGTCTCTCATCTTGAGCAACCATATTAAATGCATCATCAATAGATGGGATCGGTTTAAGCATCAGAATATGACGACGTGTGGCTTCAAAGGACTCATTAAGTCCTATTAAAAACTTTGTGACACGGCTTCGTTGTTGTAAAGACTCCCACAAACCAGCCGCATTGCACTCGCAATGACCACAAGTACAGAGAGGAAGTTCAACATAGTTCTTAAATTCTTCCCATAATGTCACTAACTCAGTGTAGTATGTACTCACATCCATGGATCCCTGTTGGATGGAGCTAAGCCTTTGTTCAATTTCATATACTCTAGGTGCATTATCTTGCTTAAACCTAGTCATAAGACTATCCCAAATCCCTTTTGCCGTATCAATGAATAGCAAACTCTGACCTATCTTCTTCGAAACAGAATTGATGATCCAAGTAGCTATCATGTCGTTACATCTAGACCAAGATCCATAATCGCGATTATCTTGAGATGGTTTAGGAATTGTACCGTCAATGAATCCGAGCTTGTTACGGACATTTAAAGCCATTCTCACAGATCTGCGCCATGAGTGAAATTCGGCTCCTGATTCGAGGCGATGTGATACAAGAATCAATCCCGCATGATCCGAACTATGCAGGAAGTAAGGATTATCATATTGATCCGTCGATTGTCTTTGAGAAGATTGAGAAGACTGAGACGGCTGAGACGATAACGGATTCTGAGTATTCGACATCACAAGATTTCGGAACCAAGAATTCGAGCTATTCAATGTGAATAAGAACGATTTGTAAGAAGATTTGTGCCAAAAAGAAGATGAAAACAGCAAATCGAGGTCAATGAAGAGATAAAAGATAGACAACGATCAATGTAATCGCCGATTTGAAGATAAAAGATATGATATGGAGAAGATTCGTAAAGAAAATGAGAACGAGATCTCGTCGTGAAGCACTCATGAGGATGAATCGAAGTTGAAGAACTGGAAAATCACCATGAAAATTGAGCTCACGCGAGAAAAGTTGTTACACAGAAGAGAGAGAAATTTCACTTTGCTCTGATACCATATTAACAGTAGAGAGAGAAAGTAAAACTTCATTAATGAAAGAGAGTTAGTTACATTAGTTAACTTAATTCCCCTTATATAGTATCATAGGGAATGTACAATATGTATCATATATGCTAATACAAATTATGCCGTTAAATCAAAATACGATATTATGTATTAATGTTAAAAACTTGAATTAAAATATATCACAATTAACTTTTACCTAATCCCATGCCCGCCTGGTCCACAAGTAAGATTCCTTATATCAATATTGTGTGATCCGGATCCTATTGAGACACAATCATCTCCTGAGGAAGAATTTTAAGAATCTTAAGTGTGTTTACACTATGATAAAAAGGTACATATGAAGTTTGTAGCCAATATTAAATGTTTTTCTTTCTATAGGTTTTTGTGTGTATATGATCCGTCTAAAAATGAAAACAACATAGTCTTTTAAATAAGTGCTAAAACGACTATTTTATTTTCTGTCTGCGATTTAAAACCGTTAGCTTATAATGGAATTTCTTATATGCACCGTATTAAGATATTTTATGTTCTATATAGCATCTCAAACTTTTCAGGTCTACTTAGGTTTGTTGCTATAAATAGTGTTTTTTTTTTTTACACTTTTCTCATGTATGTGTATGTTTGAATGTATACCGTTGGAAATAACTGAGTTGTAAATCTCAACGGAGTTGGAGTTCTCAAGGTGGATGCCGTCAGTGTTGGGACTTAACTGCGGAGATGTGATTCGAAGGGAGTTGACGTGAACTTCATGACATCCGTCGAATTTAAGATGAAACTGCGGACTGTTTTTTATACTCACACCTTTCACAATAAGATTCGAGCTCATGAAGAACCTCAAAGCCTGTCTTCACCAAAATCATTACATAAACATTTTATAAAATTAATTAGAAAAACATATCTTCTACATATTTTGATGTGTTACTTACGGCGGGGCTTTCGCATGGACCAGCAATTGCAGTCGTTTTGTTGACATTCTGTTTGAACATAACATATACTATAAGATTCATAGATTATTCATATTTACACTAACATTTTCTAAGTGTTTTACAATCGAATTCTAATGATCGTGTTTTTGCTGTTGTATAAAAATAGTGAATTTGCATCAACATGATATAAAATACAAAATTTGATACAGTTATATATCAATGTTTGTAATCAAATTTTTTTTGTTGGTAGTAACTAGATTGAAAATGTTTTTTTTTTTTTTTGCTAAATTAGATTGAAAATGTTTACCCGGTGAGGTTTGCAGGGAAGATCCCACCATTTTTGTCCACGACCATCGATAACTCCAACGCCTACTAGAGCCATTCCATTGATTCTATAAAAGACGAGCCATTGTCTTTTGTTAACACCCCTTGGCCACGACTCTGGTCCATCCCGTGGCACGATGGTCCCATCGACCTTATTTATTCAAAGAATATATCAGCTAATTAACGTTTGATATATAATCATGTAGACATTAAGAAAAAAACTTTGAGATTAAAAATAAAAATTGGTATATATATACTTGGAAGTGTTGGTAAGAGCGACAAGGACCGGTGAAAATGGTGGAATGGATCATGAAAGTGAAACCGTAAGGCACAAGCAAGACGGAGACAGTGTTGTTGTCGTTGTCGTTGGTACAAGCTGAATCCCAAGCTTTCTTGAACGACTCAGTGTCGTCTGTTAAACCGTCACCGACCGCACCGTAGTTTCTCACGTCGTAGACTACTTCGTGGTCGGGATCTTGGGACGGCGATGGAGACTGCCACGAGTCGTTAGGGTTTTGAGAGAGAGAAGGAGGCTGAGATTGAGATATGGACGAAGAAGGTGGCTCTGGTTTTGGGTTGGGATTATGTTTGTCGTTGTGATGATATAGCCTTGCTTCGGTTTCATTAGAGATTGTGATGAAAATTATTAGTGTAGTGAAACGTAGGATCGGATCACGAGCCAATTTTTTGGATGTAGGGTTTTTTTTTTTTTTTTTTTTTTTTGGATGTAGGGTTTAGTTTGGTAGCTTCTTTAATGTGATGATTCTTTCTCTCTTTATTTTTGGCTCTTTGGAAATAATATTGCAGCAGAATGGAGATGTTTGGTTTCACAAATATAGGGTGCTAGTGGTGGTGAGTGAGAGGAGTGAATGAAATAAAAAATTATGATAAGTGAAAAAAAAGAGTGGAATTAGACTTTTTTTTTCTCTAATGTTATTTTCTAGAGTAACAATTTTATAGTGGAATGAAGCTTATTTTCCACTTGTTAAGTGAAGTCCATTATAATTTGGAGATACGCAAATTTACCATAAATTGTTGATTTTTAAGAAATCCAAAGGAATAATCAATTCCATACTCAATTTTTATTTTCTTTAACATGTCAACCATTTGTACCTATTGATATTTGAATTTATTAGTTGACAAAGTTTTTTTTTTTCCTTTTTTGATTTACCCTTAATTGACATGATGCTGATAAGCTTATCTGTATATATAAGACAGCTCAAAGCTCATAAGTGTTATCTCATGTTCATGACAAACCCCTTATTTGTTGGAAAATCATTTGCTATAAAGTAAATTGTATAATATTGATATTATTGAATAATAATGCTCGTATTTAGACATTACAATACCGTTTTGCAACTTAAAAGAGTTAGAGGTTTGACTAAGTTGAATTATTTCACATGCTCAAATATTCCAGTAGAAGATTGCGATTTGTGAAGATACTATATCACGTGCAAATGATACTACTATTAATGCCAACTAAGTACTATACAATTTGGGAGAATAATTATACAGCTTTATGCTATAGAAATATGCAATTTTGCTGTTATGCGAGTGTAAACGATTAAAATACCTAAGTTTGATAATTCCATCATTTTGCATGAATTTAAGTTTTATTTCGTAATGACTTTTCAAATTTGTTTCAGCTTTACGGCTATAGTACTTTTAATTAGACTTGGTTTAGTACTGGTTGTGGTTTACCTTTTAATTTCCGGTTTTTATCACTGGTTTGATTTGATATTGTATAAAACATCTTAGCCATCTTCTTCAATCTCCACCAAATCCCAAATGGCCAACTAAACGTCCTTTATTGGTCAACAATACTATTCATATGATCAGATAAACTCAAGAGTCTGTAGTCCAAGATTAAAATGTTGTGATTATATATAAACAATCCTTTCTTGACATGAACACTGTATTAAAAAAAAACAATATTGTAACCGTCACAACAATGATTCTCTGTGCAAATTCCTGTAAGAAGAATAGGATGATATGTGTGCTGTGGATAATTAAAGTTTTGCTGTTGTGTTGTTTAACTAAGTGGAATTTGTGCTTTTTGCTATCTGTGCAAATTGCTCCAAACTATTCTTGATCAATCCTTGCATTAGCGGTTGAAGCGCCTGAAGAAAACAAAAAACGAATGATTACAAGACGTGCAAGGGTTTAAATGTTACCAGTAGATATGATTTGAAACATTCATTTTTGTTGATTAACTCTCAAAATATCGAGATATTGATGAAATTTACAGGTTGAATAAAAAATGCTTACTGTTGCAAATGGTATAAGTAGCAGCGGAACCTCGTATGCAAAGGTTAGCTGCAAACAAAGCAATGAAGATTGGTAGAATTTTATCCATTGTTTATGTAACAAATCGCGTATAAACAAACTAAATGGGTAATATTGTAGATCATCAGGAACTCGTAAACCAATGAACTATGGTTGAGAAAAATGAATGTATATCAACAATGGAACCTCACTTCTACATCACATGATGAAGGTCCTAGTGGGAAAAACCGAACAGTTCCCCTGTAAACAAAAAAAAAAGCAAGACCTTCACATGAAGCTTGATTCAAGAGATGAAGTTTCAGACTCATTGATTCATTTCAATTTTGTTTACCTGTTAGGAAGGCCTTCTAGAGAAATCCAGTGTATTTTCTGGTTCAGGAGAGGCTGCAGGAAACAGAATCTAGAAAACATTATTATGTAAGAATCCAAATAAGCCGTTTAAAACGTTCTCGAGATCAAAAACCATTCAAAGTCACAAAATAATTTTTCTTAAGATATCTACTTTTAAACAGTTGACGATACTTGCCTGCAAATTCTTAGCGAGCCAAGAGTACTCTAGATTCTGACCAAATGCTTTATACTTCAAGGTCCATCGAGATAAATCGGGTTTGTCCTTCAGTACCTGCAGAGCTAAGCCACAACATCAAACACCTCCTAAAAAAAGAAAAAGAAAATCCATGGCGTTTCCATGTTCAATAGACAAACGAACAAAATACTCATTTACCTTCACGGATGAAATGAATGACATCCAACTAGGAATCGATTCTCGATCCGAGTAGAGCCCATAAGCAACTGATACAGGCACTTCAACCTTCATCTTTACTCTGAAATTCTCCACAGCATTTTTAGACTCAGAGAGAAATGTTCAAACACTTGCTAACATAGAACATTCTTGACAAGAAAAAGCCAGTTTTTATCAAATTAAGACAAGGAAAATTCAATATCGTACAGTAAAGCAGCATTTTGAAGAAGCAACATGCCTCTCCAGAGCAACCATTGATCGTCATAAGCAAATCAAAATCAGAGAGAAACAGTGTTTTATAATGATCTTTTTTATTCACTCTTCTGCGATTCAGAGAAACAATAAACTCACAAATGCGTGTACGTTTTGTAAATCTAGCTAAATTACTCGAAGAGCCAACAAAACATTCAAGTCAGAGAGAGAGAGAGTCAAGACAAGAGCAGGGGAATATGAATCGCTTACTTGCATTCTTGCCACTCCATGAGAGTGTCGAATCTCCTGGATAGTGAAGAATTAAAAGATCTATTCGGTAAAATCAACGGGGAAAATCTAGAAGCAAGAGGCGAAGGCTTCATCAGAGAAGAAGAAGAAGAAGAAGAAGAAGAAGAAGAAGAAGAAGAAGAAGGAGGAGGTAAATATCTCGAACTGGGTTTAGCTACGGCGTTTCGGCATCGGAATTTCCGATTAACAAACCCGGCGGCGAAGGCATTTGGGTTCGGAAGAGAAACAATCGCCGTCGCAGACATTTTCTTTCTTCGTCGTCGTGTTTTCTGTGTGACTTTCTGTTTTGCCGGCGAAAGAAATGGAAAGAGCGTGGCGTTAAAAGAGTATGAAAGGAGGAGGAGGAGAAGGAGAAGGTTGCTTCTTGTTTTGGTGATGTCACGTGTCCTGCTTCAAGAGGTTGCAAATTCTTCAATTCAAAATTCTTAAATGGGCCCGGAAAAAGCTTAATGGGCCAAAAACGAAGCCCATTTGAGAGTGTTGAAGACCTCCGTCTTCCTCCCTTCTCTCTCGCTCGTTCTCTCCCTGAACAAGCTCGGTGAGAATGTCGGCGAGAAGTAGCAATCGATGTAATTTCTGGCTTCCGAAGAAGAAAAGATCATGCGCCAATACTCGAATCGAGAGTTCGTTGTAAGTTCTATATACTTGGAAGTGAAAATTTTCGATTTTATTTTATTTTCAAATTAGTCAGGAGCTAATTTTCTTAAGTAATCAAACAGGTTTTGTGGAAACCATAGCCAGCGATTAGATGGTCAGTGGATTCCATGCCCTATTGATCCTTCTCAGTAAGTAAAAGATTATGTTTTTTTCGAAGATGTTAATTTTGCCATTCTCTGCTCTTGGTAGCAACGGTTTGATTCGAATTTTTCTAGCTCTGTGTTGCAGGAGAATCTCGAAGGGCATGTCAAAAGATGCCCTTTACTAAAACAAACGGTAGCATTGTCTGGTCAACAATTTTACCACAAGGGTATTAATGCCGGAAACGAAGAAGAAGAAGATAAAGAAAAGATGGGCTCCTCTTGTTGTCCAGATTCTGTTGTTACTTCAGAAATGAAGAGGAATCTACTTTATAGTATGAGTGTTTCTAAGTTTCATCAGCTAATTAAGAAAATTGAGTCGGTTCATGGCGGTATTTGTAAAGATATCGAAGATTCGTATCTGTCACCTGAAGCTTGTAACATATGGTTTACTAAGGAGATAGATAGGTAAGGGTTCAAAAGTTTGTAGCTTTTGTTCTTGGGGTTTGGTGAATCAGAGGAGAAGTTCCTTTTTATTACTGATATGTTCTGATTATTGGGCAGGAAACTACCGTTTCAAGAGAAACATGTTTTGCAGCAAGGTTCGATTCTTGGTAACTTGGAAAAGATTGGTGCATTGAAAAGGTGCAACAAAAATGTGGAATGTTGCGAAAGCAATCTGGATAATAAAGATGAGAATGTGTCTGCGGTTGTTGAATTTGGAGCTGGGAGAGGGTACTTAACACAGATGCTAGCAGATTGCTATGGGGTCAAAAAAGTGTATTTAGTTGAGAGGAAATCTTACAAGCTTAAGGTTGGTTAAGCTTGCTCGTTTGTGTTCATCCCGTTTCCTTTCAGTAGATTATTTCTCAAGCTGCAGTTGTTTTGCTACTTCTAGGCTGATCGGTCACTGAGGCAAAAGGAGAACTTGGTATTAGAGCGTATGAGAATCGATAGTAAGGTTCCTTTGAGTCTAATACATTTTCTTGTTTTACCTGTATTAATGGATTGAAAAATAAAACCTCTTTGTGTTTTCAGTTGAGGATTTGAACCTTAACGCGGTCGAATCTTTGCACGGTGTTCCTTATGTGGCTGTTGGGAAACATCTCTGTGGTCCTGCAACAGGTCACTACATGTTTATGTCTTCACTCTTACACAGTTCAGATTTTCACTTTAATATGAGTGTCTATGTTGCTAATCAATGATCATTTGTATGTGATCATAGATTTGAGCCTAAGATGTTGTTTTTCTAGACAAGATGATGAAAGCCCGGTTCTGAGAGGTCTCGCCATCGCGACTTGTTGCCATCATCTTTGCCAATGGAAAAGCTACATAAGTAAACTCAGTCACTTCCTCTTTGGTCTACCAGAGTAGTATAGAATTCTCCATCAATGAAGAAATGTCATTTTTCTTTTTTTGTTTCACAGATAAAGAATATATCATTAGCCTTGGGATGTCCAAAGACGAGTTCCATACCATGACTTGGTTCACTAGCTGGGCTGTAGATGATGATCACGGTTCCAAAATTCCCGGTGTTGACGACATTGACCTTCAGGCTTCAGAGTAAACATTTCTTGGATTCAAAGATGATAAAGGTGTTACTTGAAATAAGTTATTTCATCTTGATTGTTTGTCGTCTGATGCAGCAGTACAAAGGAGGAAGAACAAGTAAAAGGAGTGGAAGATGATTCTTTGAGGAGCGTTGACGAAGTTGTGAAGAAAATGAAACCCATGGAAAGAGCTGTTTTAGGGTTCAAGTGTAAACAGATCATCGATACGGGGAGGATGTGGTGGGTTAAGAAACATGGGTTAGATTCTAAGCTAGTGAAATATATACCGGCGAGCGTCTCACCGGAAAATACTTTACTAATCGCCGGAAAATCCACTCCTTCCTCTGCTTGATGTTGTATTGTCGTTAGTAATTCAATACTTTGTAGGTGAAGACCAGTAGAAATTATGGTGCAAGTCATCACTTTTGATTCATAAACTTTATCAGCTTTTTTATATATTTATTTCATAAAATTGTTACAACTTTATGTGCTTGCTTCTTATCTAAAAAGAATCTTAAGAAAACAAAAATCAGTTCACAATAAGGTTAAAAAGATCCTATGGAGACTGCAACGTCATCACACACGCACGCACGGATCATTTTGTTCCGTTCACACACGGTCAAATACTTAAAATAGTCAAACTTTTTCGCCACGTCATCAACACTCTATAAATACTCCAGTCGGTTACCACCACCGATTCAATAAAATCTACGGCAATGGAGACTCCAAGTGGCACCATCATCTTCACCACCGTTGGTCGAACTCACTACGGCTTCGACGTCTTCTCTCTCCACATCAACTCCGCCGTTGAGCGCCGTTTAACAGACGGCGTTTCCGTTAACTTCAACGCTCAGTTCGCCAACGATAACGGCGATGTGGTCTTCGTCTCGGAACGAGCCGGGTCTGCCCGGATTTTTAGAACCCGACCCGGAGATTCAAAGCCCGAGCAGCTCCCCGGAGCTCCGCAAAGCTTCTTCCACGACCGTCCAGTCATTACTCAAAACAACAGACTTTATTTCATCTCCGCTCACGAGCAGCCTGATCGTCATTTCAAGAATTGGTCCGCGCTTTACTCCGTGAAGCTCGACGGCGAAGAGAGAGAAGTAACACGTGTCACTCCACTAGACACCGCCGATTTTAGCCCGGCGGTTTCTCAATCGGGAGAGCTTTTGACCGTCGCGTCGTACGGATCTCGCTCTTGGGCGGTGAGTTTCACGAGATCAACACTGATATCGTCGTTTCAAAGCATCTGAGCCGGAGACGAGAGTGGTGATTTGCGAACACGGCGGATGGCCGACTTGGTCCGGCGATCCACCGTTTTCTTTCACCACAAAGCAGATGACTGGTTGATGAGCATTTCCGGGTAAGATATACCCAGAAAATTTTGAGGTGAATTCCGGTTTTCCGATCGAACCCGATCAGAGTCACTCCTCCTGGTCTCCATTGCTTCACTCCTGCAGCTTTCCACGACGGGAAACGAATCGCCGTCGCAACTCGTCGTCGCGGAGTCAAACACCGCCACATCGAGATTTTCGACATTGAACGCAAAACGTTTCAGGCGGTTACCGAGCCACTCAATCCGAGTTTCCACCATTACAGCCCCTTCGTGTCTTCTGATTCCGAGTTCCTCGGCTACCACCGATTCCGAGGCGAGTCGACTCAGGGCGAGTCCACCGTTCCGAACCTGGAATCGATCGTGTCACCGATCAAAACCCTCCGCTTGCTCAGATTAAACGGATCGTTTCCATCATCATCTCCTGACGGTGATCTGATCGCGTTGAATTCCGATTTCGACGTCAACGGTGGCATCAAAGTCGCCAAATCTGACGGCTCTAAACGATGGACGTTGATCAAAGACCGTACAGCCTTCTACAACTCGTGGAGTCCAACGGAGCGTCATGTCATCTACGCATCTCTCGGTCCAATTTTCCGGCCGGCGGGAATCGCCGTTCAGATTGCTCGGATCAAGTTTGATCCGTCGGATCTCACCGCCGATAAAGAAGAGCTTCCATGTGAAGTGAAGTATCTCACTCTAGATAACACCGGGAATAACGCCTTCCCGTCTTGCTCTCCCGACGGTAAATCCGTCGTGTTTAGATCTGGCCGATCAGGTCATAAGAACCTCTACGTCGTTGATGCCGTTAACGGAGAATCTGACGGTATACGACGGTTAACGGATGGGCCATGGATCGACACTATGCCTTGCTGGTCTCCGAAAGGAGATCTCATCGGTTTCTCATCTAATCGGCATAATCCGGCGAACACCGAAGCGTTCGGCGTTTACGTGGTGAGGCCTGACGGTTCTGGTTTGAGGAGGATCCAAGTTGCGGGACCGGAAGGATCGGAAGAAGCGGCGAGGGAGAGGGTTAATCACGTGAGTTTCAACAAGGACGGTGACTGGCTGGTTTTTACGGCGAACCTTGGTGGAGTTATGGCGGAGCCGGTGGCGATGCCGAATCAATTTCAGCCGTACGGGGAGTTGTACGTTGTGAAGTTGGACGGGACGGGGTTGAGGAGGCTGACGTGGAATGGGTATGAAAATGGAACTCCCACGTGGCATACAGTGGATGATGTAGATTTGAGTCAGTTGAGTCTGAACGGTCAAGATGGAGACAAGCTTGAGGGTCAGTTTGAGGAGCCGTTGTGGATTTCTTGCGATATCTGAATATTCTCTGTAATGTTTAATTAATATCGGTAGATAAAATAATATATGTAACATTGCTTTCATCGAATAAAACAAAATAAAATGTGTTATTAATTAATATTTGGACAATGTTAATATTAATAGCGGGGATAGCTCAGTTGGGAGAGCGTCAGACTGAAGATCTGAAGGTCGCGTGTTCGATCCACGCTCACCGCATTTACTTTTTAAGTTTTTCTTTCCTTTATAGTCAATTGGGCTTTTTCTCCCAAAATGTTCGTAGCCTATGTACATATAATTTCAGCCCAAATGTTGAATCTATCTACATACACCGATACCAAATGTTGAATCTATCTACATAAACCGATACCAAATCGCTGTTGCTGTATGCGGAATCCAAATGGTTGAATTCTCCGGTTAACTGCTTGGATTGGATATACTCTAATACTCATCATCCTAACCTACCCTCTGCTACAATTTATATTACACCAGTGAGGCATGGAGATGTCAAGCTGCGTCTCAACACCTAACCAGTTTTGGATGCTGGTCGGTCAGAGTAAACCGGATTTTGGATATCTCGTGTAGTTTGGTCAAAATTGAGTTTTTGTCGGTGCTCTACTAAATTCTTGGTACCATGTTCTGAACCCAATTTGATAGTTACATTATTGCTCAAGATCGGAAAATGGAATTCTCCCCATGTGGGACCTTTATGGACGAAATATCAACATTACACACCTTATTCAATTCTAATATCACTAAATACGGTTTCTTTTATGCGAACTGATAAGTAATTTTGTGATACATATGTGGCCGCAACACATCCGTCAAAATCTCGGTATAGAACTAAAGATTTATACATGTATAAATGCTCATTATACAAACCCGTTTTTCAAAAAAAGAAAAAAAAAAGAGAGCTATATACATGCTCAAAAGAATTCAGTTGTACTGTAATTAACGGAAGTGTATTGTCTTCTAAAAACAAAACTAGCGCAGGTATGTTTTAATTCTACGTACGATTTTGAGAAATTATTCTGTGAAAAACCATTTTTATAAGAAAATATTATGTGTTTACACGTAACTTGCATGTTAATTCGATTTTGGATTCTAATTTTTGTTTTCTTTTTCTCATAACCGGATCGAGATCAATCATCCTGCTCTACGATACTTGTCCGTTCATTTACTATTTTGTGGTTGGTCACCAGATCTGTGATTTTTTGTGAGTTTGTTTCTTATGGTGTGTGTCTAACTGTCTATTATATTCAATAGTCCAAGAGAAGGGATAATAAAATAATCTTCGCATAGTCTTCAAAATTTGTTGGCTGATCAAGTAAAATATTTGCATGACTTAAATGAGTTTTTAAAAACTAGTTTAGTGTGTGTTGTTGATAGAAATCTCTCCAACAAGACAAAACATTACTACTATATATATAAACCAATTGTTTTTTCATTGTTACAAAACTTAATGCCGGAGGTATTTTTAAATTTACCAACGGTCGACTGTATGGTATGCTTCCATATATTATATGGTATTGCTCTTAATTGAGCTTTCGGTTCAAATTGTGATGATTATATGAACTTAAGATTTTTTTTTTTTATAGAAAAATCTACCTGACTTTTTGAAAAAAAAATCATTGTTTATTTTTTTGTTTTCGAGAAATCCTTGAACTGGTGAATTAGCTTATTAATTAAACTGGTGAAATAGCTTATTGTTTGCAGTTTTTTTTAATAGATTTTGGTTTTTGTTTTCAAAAAACCATTTTATTAGCCAGTCAAGTTTTTGAAGAAATGGATTTCCTAAATTATAGGGAAACTAGTTTTTCAAAGTTTTTATTTTTTTTAAACAAAAACCAAAAAACACCCTATATGAGTTTTTCTAAGAAGTTTCCGTTAAGTTGTTGTTATTTACTTTATTTTATTTTTAAATACTGCTATTTTTCTCAATAAGTAAAAATTATATTTCTAAAATAAAAAATATAGGAGCAAAACAAAATCTCATTTCTAAAATAACCTCATTTTACCTATGTACATTTTTATATATCATTTTTACTGTATAAAAGATCTATAATTTAATTATTCATATTTTCAGTGATTTTTTCTTAGAAAAATATATGATTTTGACACTGCAGTTTTATTTATTTAATTTTTGTAATTTTTAAACACATAAAAGTAAACTAAAAAATAAAAAGCATAGAAACGTGTTAAAAAAAATAATTATTGATAAGAAAACCAAAAACTAGACAAATTATATCATTCAAGATTTTAGGAAACAAAAATCTACAGGAAAATCAAAAACTAAAATTTTAAAAACTAAAATCCAAAAATCAAAATCCAAAAGTTAAAAACCAGAAACCAAAAAACTAAAACCCATGCAAACATTCATGGCCTAAATGTTAGTTTTGCATAATAATCACGGACTCTTAATAACTTATTGATTGTTTTACCGGATCGGAAACGACAGTTGTACATATATGTAGCAAATGCTGTTCATGATAGTCTAATAGATATTTCAGAAGTTTAAATAATAATAAAAGATACAAAATTTACACAGGTCACAGATAAGTTTACGTGCATGAGTTTCGGATGCAACAAATACAATCTACCTTCTCATTGTAGTTTAATTCACCTACACAACTTAGAATTTTCTACGATTTTGGACTTATATCTATTTCTTAGCACACAAAGTTGACCGCTAAATTAAATTAGTTTAATCATTTATAAAATAATTCATGAGAGCAACGAGGTCTGACGCCTGACGGTAAGCAAAAATAAAAACATGTAAAATGATAAATCTTTGACTAATAAATTCACTCTTTAAACAAATTACGAATCCCGTTTAAATAATGATTAAATAAAAACATAATGTCATTTACTACAAATTTGTTTTTCTTTTTATTAGTAATGTTCTTCAAATAAAATCAATTAGTTATGGACTTATGGCGATTTAGTAGTTGATGATTCGTTCTATTACTTGAGAACCAGAGTTCAAATCAATTCTGATTAGCCCGCCACTTAATGACGTTTCAATTAACAAAAAAAAAAAGAGGGATTTTCATAAACCTCGCAAAATACTAAAATAGTCTGGGTTTAGGTCTGAGATTTTTCGGTTATTAAAAAGAAAAATTATGCTTAAATAAATAAATAAAAATGTCTACGTACATTACCAACCCCACTAGCCACTACCCAAATCTGAGCAGTTACACTTACATCCCACGAATAAGCTGTTAAGTTTGAGTTGAGCCGGGCCGAGCCGAGCCGAGCCGAATCAATGTAGCAGACTCTTGCAAAACTTCCGAAAGCTGAAGCATTTGTTGGGCTACCGGCACCTCCCGGTCGCTACATTAAATTAATTGAGAGATTCGCTCGATTAGAAACTAAAATAATATTACTATACTTCGGGAAAAAATAATAATGATATTACTATACATGTGCCGATGCGATAACTTAGTTTACTTAAATAAAGCTTGCAGTAAAATAACTCGTACTTATAACTAGGCTGTAGATTTTTTTTTTTTTTAAATGAAAGAATAGCATGATTGTGCGTGAAGTAGGTCAAATCCGTCACCTAAATCTAACCGTTTAAATGAGAGATCTAATGGTTACCATTTTGTCTCAACAACGACATAATTATGTACAAGTCTTAATATATGTCCACCTACCAAAAACTCGGTCATTATTCACGAAGATTTGAAGCTTCTGTTCCACATTATTCTTAGGTTCTTTTTTTAAAGCAATAATACTTTGTACTCTCTTTTATTTTTTTCTTTTTCCTTTTGTCAACCACCTTATTAGTGGTCTTGTCTTTCATTTCCTTCGTAGTCATAAAATGATTTAAACCTCTTTATAAAAATGAAATAAGCTTGTTTATTCCAATTTTAGTGTATGTGCCTAAATAGTGAAAAAGATACCTCTGAAAAAAAAACAAAAAAAAAAAGAAGAAGACAAATAGTGGCTTCAATAATTTTATAAATGTAGCAACTTCTATGTATACATTTTTATTTTGTCAACTAATTGTTTCATATAAATATCAACGTGAATATTTATGAAGTGTCATTTAAATTTTATTTGCCATAAGTATTTTATATTAAGCTATAATTTATGGAATGGAATTTATTTACTAGATAATTATATGGAGAGTCAAATAAATGGCCATTTACTGCTATTACCTAATTTATTTATACAAATTCTATAATATCTTTCAGAATTATTATGTTTCTACTATTATTAGATTAGTATAATCTTGTTACCCACTATATATATATGGGGAAAAATATTTAACAAAATCTAATATATAATCAATTTTTGTCAAGAGTTTAGTTGTAGTACGTTTAGACAAAGCTTAACAAGGGCTCATAAATCCATCATATTACTACTAAATAATTGAAAAAAAAATACAATATTTGAAGGCGAGGCTACGCCGAATAAGCCAAAGAAGTAAGCATTTAAAGTCCAAAGTCCAAAAGCAAAGAGAGCTGCTTTGACCTATAGATCCGGTGGCCAGTCAACAGTGCCATTAATTTCCTATAAATAGCAACGCCGTTGAGAGCCACAAATTGTCCCGAGTCGTTTCCTTCGGTTTAAGATTTGCTTTGAGGCATATTTGGCAAAAGAGAGATCCGTTTTTTTTTTCCAGATCTGACTCGCCTGAATCGCATTTCTCTATCGCCAAAGGTATCGCTCTTCTTCTTCTTCTTCTTCTTCTTCTCCCCCTTTGTTATCTTCTTTTCGTTTTCTCGATTTGACGGTGTGTATTTAGTTTATTGTAATTGGATCTGCGAGTGTAGGGCTTTTTTTTAGTGTTGTGACACGGGACGAAATGAGTTTCTGAAGTTTTTCGTTAGATTTGAGAGATGCGATTACGAAAGTTTTATGGATTTTACAGTCGAATCTATGAATGTCTCATTTCGGATGCTACAGATCCAAGTATTAGGTTTAGAGTCCTGTAGTATGTAAATCTGACTACGCTAGTTTCATATTTTAAGTTTCGAACTCGATTTCTGATCCATTACGGCGGATCTACATGATGGGTATATGATTTTGAAAATATTTGGAATATCTCATGGATAGTGTGTATATGATTTGAATTTGGCTCTTTTTTTTTTTTTAATATTCCGCTTTAAATGCTCTGCACTAAGTCAAGTTAATTTGTTTTCAAATATGCTTGATGAGCCTTATCTGCATTAAGTCTGTGTCATTAATGAGTCTTGATTATTGTCCATGAACTATCAAGAATGAATTTCTGTTATTTATTCCATAAATGCATCATTTCATGGTTGCTTACTGTGTCACAACACAACCCATTTGATTTGGGGGCATTTATCGAATCGAGTATCAGAAGTAGCGAATCACTTAGGATAAGATGCATCTGTTTTATGCTGTTTTGTTGAGCTGTTCCACAATGATTTGGAATCTTTTTTTAGCTTTATGTCACTTTAGAATGGAATCAAAATGATACTTTTTAATTTTTTTGTAGGTTATCAGGATATCTTGATACTTTCTTCTTTCTAGTTTTGTTTTGTCAACGAGATTTTATTTATAGTTATAATGCTTCTACATGTAGTATTATCTATGAGGTTGCTGATTCAATCTTTCTTATTTTTGTATAGCTTAAGAAAATGGAGACTTTCCTATTCACATCCGAGTCTGTGAACGAAGGACACCCAGACAAGCTCTGCGACCAGATCTCTGATGCAGTCCTCGATGCCTGCCTTGAGCAAGACCCCGACAGCAAAGTTGCCTGTGAGACATGCACCAAGACCAACATGGTCATGGTCTTCGGTGAGATCACCACCAAGGCCACAGTCGACTACGAGAAGATCGTCCGTGACACTTGCCGCTCCATTGGATTCATCTCTGATGATGTTGGTCTCGACGCAGACAAATGCAAAGTCCTTGTCAACATCGAACAACAGAGCCCAGACATTGCTCAAGGTGTTCACGGTCACTTCACCAAGCGCCCAGAAGACATTGGAGCTGGTGACCAAGGACACATGTTTGGTTACGCCACAGACGAAACCCCCGAGCTCATGCCTCTGAGCCATGTTCTTGCAACCAAGATCGGTGCTCGTCTCACTGAAGTCAGAAAGAACGGAACTTGCCGTTGGTTAAGACCAGACGGCAAAACCCAAGTCACTGTTGAGTACTACAACGACAACGGCGCAATGGTTCCAGTCCGTGTCCACACTGTCCTTATCTCAACCCAGCACGATGAAACTGTGACCAACGACGAAATCGCACGTGACCTCAAGGAGCACGTCATCACACCAATCATCCCAGAGAAATACCTTGACGACAAAACCATCTTCCACCTCAACCCATCAGGCCGGTTTGTGATCGGTGGACCACACGGTGACGCCGGTTTAACCGGACGTAAGATCATCATCGACACTTACGGTGGATGGGGAGCACACGGAGGAGGTGCTTTCTCAGGAAAAGACCCAACCAAAGTCGACAGAAGTGGAGCTTACATCGTGAGGCAAGCTGCAAAGAGTGTGGTGGCTAATGGAATGGCTCGTAGGGCTCTTGTTCAGGTCTCATACGCCATTGGAGTCCCTGAGCCATTGTCTGTCTTCGTGGACACTTACGGGACCGGGAAGATTCCAGACAAGGAGATATTGAAGATCGTGAAAGAGAGCTTCGATTTCAGACCAGGAATGATGACGATTAACTTGGACTTGAAGAGAGGAGGCAATGGAAGGTTTTTGAAAACGGCGGCGTATGGACATTTCGGAAGAGACGACCCTGATTTCACTTGGGAGGTCGTCAAGCCACTCAAGTGGGACAAACCTCAAGCTTAAGATTATTATTTAATACTTTTCTATGCTTGTTTCTATCTTTTTCACTCCATGAACAATAATTAATCCCTCTGTTTCTGTTTTTTATTTTCTTCTCCCCCTGCTTTTTATTGTATTCTTGAAATGAGAGTTTCTGTTTTGCTTATTGAGACAGATTTGATAGTATGGTATTTAAAAGCAGACCTGTTAAATGATTGTGGAACTTCGTTTCTTTGGTTATACTGGTCCATTTTATCAACAATATATATAGTTTTGACATTTTTCACATAAACTAGACTCCTCAACCATCTCTACTAATCATATATATAGCTGTTAGAATTCACCAAAAGATAGTGGACTGTAAATCTTTTTTTTTATGTTATGGGTTGGCTTGTGTAGTTGTGTTAACTGTATATCGAACGTTTTTTTGGAGTACAACACGAAGCTGCAAGCAATCTTCAACAACAACGACACTGCTAATGATTTAGAAAAAGAAAAAATAAAACGATCGATATCTACGGATATTGCCAGCAATTCAATAAAAAAAAAACCATCAATATCTAAAAGAAATTTCACTTTGTCAGAAAACAAAATATATCTAAAAAATCCAGATATTAGCGAATCCGAATCTGAGTATTTTGAAATTCTGTCTGATCGGTGTTCTTTCCTCGCTACAAATAAAACAGTCTCATGGTTTCGTGAGTTGTGGAGAAACATTTGCTGTGAATCTGCAAATTGCAAGAAGATATCTAAACATATTTATCATAATCATATACGTTTTAAGTTATTGAATTTGATCGATTGATAATTATTTTAGATTAAATTAATTATTTTACATGATGATGTAAAAGTCGTGAAAAAAATTCTTAGAACATCTTCAATGTATGACTGCATATTCTTTTTTATTTTGGGGTAACTCTAAAATGAAGTTGGGTTTTACACCAATGTAAACTCCATTTTTTCCTCCAAAATGGAGTTATGACAAAAAAAATAGAGAATCTATATTTTTAGCTCCATATTTGGAGTACCTCCATTTTTTACTCCATTTTGAATTGAGAATTAGAGTAGGGTTGGAGATAATTTTGCTGCAAACTCTATTTTACAGAAAAATTTGGAATAAGATTGGAGATGGTCAAATAATAATGAAATGTGTTTATCTGTCAATACCGGTAGAGTGTCTTCTAATTACTCTCAACTTGTTTTGTATTTTTATATTTAGTGATAAATTGATATGAAGAATTTCATTAAAAAAAAAGAGAGGAGTAATCGAGTGAAGTTATGAACATATAATAATTTAAATGTTACCGGTTTGACAAATACTTTTCTTAGAATTTGTGCATGGATTGGGATGGGTTACTTGGTCAACCGACCTTTCTACTAAATCAAGGGACAAAAAGTTTCAACGTTCGAGCCTTTTTCAACCAAATGATCTCCTTAAAATTCTTTATTAATATATCTCTTCTGTTTTATATCTTCCCAAACTCAAATGACTGTCTCAGTCCTATGTGCATCGTCACCCCATAAAAACAAGCTTTCGTGGACGCTTATCCATCTTTTGGGTCACAGATTTGCCTGTCACAGTTTTATACAAAGCAACAAAAAAAAAAACATATACATTTCTATTACCTCTAATGAAGAGAGATAACTCTTTGTATGAATCAGTGCTGCTACATATATTCAGTTATATTTCTTACAAAGGGAAAAAAAAAGAAGAAAATTGTACAAGGAGGGGAAAAAAAAACAGAGAAAGAAAGTGTTCTTTTTGTGTCAAGAACTACCTCCTAAAAGATCAGGTAATGTGATTTTCCCCAAATTATTAGGATCAAGTTTATCGAACTGATTAACAACTTGGTTAATGTCTTTATCACTGATCTTCCCCATTTCCTTAAGCTTCAACACAATATACTCTGATTTACTGAGAAACACCAAAATCAAATACAAAGAATAAAAAAACGGGTTAGAATATTAATTCACTCCAATCAGTGATTACTGTCTAAAAATCACTGGATAGGATAAAACAAAGACAGTAATTTTAGTTTGACCCATTTGGATAATTAACTGTTTGCTTGCAAGGAAAAGTCTAAGATTGACATGATTAGTCTAATTATTCTCCTTGACCTACATGATTAGTCTAATTATTCTCCTTAACCTACATGATTAGTCTGATTTAAGTAATTTGCCCGAACCGTTGAGAATATGCTTTTCAGCTTCAAGATTCGGTTAGATCTTAGGATACAACAACCAAAAAATATATAGTTTAAAGAACTTGTACAAAACCCATTACCACAAACAGCTAAAGATCACACTTTTAACCTAAGCAACTTACTAAAAAATCCAATCTTTTTAAAAAACAAAAGTTAGAAGCTTTTTATACCTGATGAAACCATGTTGATAGGTATCAGGAGTGAGCAAATCGGCGACGGTAATCTCTCTTTTCAACGCCGATCTCACAGCTCTCCGGTGCCGGCGATCGATTCTCGCTTCCGCCAGATACAAAAACGCACGCGCCACCGCGAGCGTCGAGACGAGGAGCCAAGCCGCCGCGAAAAGCCGTCCCTGAAGCGTTTTAAACGCTCGGTCTCCATACCCAACCGTCGTGACCGACATAACCGACAAGTAAACCGAATCAACGAGATCCAAACCCTCGACGAGATGCAAAACCAAAGCCCCAACTCCGACGCACAAAACGACGACGCATAACGCTAAAAACACTTTGATCCTTATCCTCATCCTCCCCTTTTCGAAATCGATTATGTAATCCTTCGCCGAGAATCTGTGGTGGTGGTGATGCGTCGTCGAGCCCATTTGGATTCCGGTGAGAATCATACTCTCCTGAAGATCCAGAACGTAATTCACAACGCCACTAAGAAGAATATCCAAAAACCCAAACCCGAACAAGACGAAGAGCACTGCGAAGATCTTCGTCCATGGAGTCAACGGTGCGATGTCTCCGTAACCGATTGTACACATAGTGACGATACAGAAATAGAGCGCGTCGACGACGGGATGAGTCTCGATTCCAGAGTAGTGATCTCGATTGAACGAATACACTGAGACGCCTAGGGTTAGGTAGACGATTAGAAGGAAAATCGCTTGTTTGATAATCGATTTAGGGATTGGTGAAGGCTTTTTGGTAACAGCTTGGGTTTCGCGTGTTAGGTCTTTGATGATTACCATCGCCGGAGCTGTACGGCATCGATGAAGTGGTCGAGGATTGGTGAAATAAGAATCTGGGTCTGTGTCTTTGTGTTCGGATTCTTCGAGGTCGTGATGGTGGTGGTGATGATGGACAATCTCTTGGAAGAAGGAGGTGGTGGAGATTGAGTGAGGGATTGTGACGGAGGAAGCGGCGGAGACGACGGAGTCTGGGTTTTCCGGTATGGGTTCGAGGCGGTAACGTGACTGAGGACTGATTAAGGGTTGATTATCCATTTCCCAAGAAATGAGGAATCTCCAAACTCGTTACGAAAATTTATTTATTTTTGAGGAGATTTGAGATTGTTTTTCTCTCTTTTGGCCCCAACGGAAAATTCCAAAAGAGCAAAAGGAAAAAAAATTAAGTGTTTTTTTTTTTAAATTGAAAAGGAAGCAAGAAGAAGTGTGATTGGTGTTTGGATGATGATAAACTTTATAGGCTTTTGTAGCATGGGGTCCATATGCCACGTATGATAAACAATAATCGACAGTGAACCACTTGCGTAATACTCTATGCTATGCATACGATGATTAATGAGTTTCGTTTGTACAAAATTAATTAAAGTTAAAGAGTTTGGTGGATTTATCTCGTGATGTGTGGATAATTAGCTTTCTTTATGACCCCCTTTTTTTTCTTTATCGTTGGTATTTGATTCATCTCGTATAGACGTATACGTACATGTGGATAGTTAATTATTACTTTCAAACAAAAAATTATTATTATGATTATATCGCTGTGACGACTTTCTACCTCGTAAATAAAGAGAGAAGTAACTTTCGGATGTATTATTTTTCCAACGGAAATGTCAATTCCAACGAATATGTCAATGGTGCTTTAGCGTTTTTCACTAATTTTTTTTTGTCCATCCTAACTTTTATAGTTAGTGTAGGGATCATATGGCGGTTTACCGTTGCTTTGTACTAATTTTAACGGAATTTTGTGAAAACAACGACTCAAATTGAAACCATCACAGGATAATAACTAGGAAAAAATATGATTTTATTACCAAATGATTTGATGAGTTGATATCAAATGGAAAAATATTTTAAAATCACTCTAATACAGAAACATTATTATCAGATTGTCGAAGTTCAAAATATACGTGGAAGAAGTTTTACCTCGTGGATATCTTTGTTGCCTTGAAGACCCGTCTTTAAAGCAAGATTTTCGGATGTATTGTGTGCATTTGCAAATCATTTTCTTTGATCTTCACAAGATTTGTCTTGGGTTTTGTGGGTTTTACTTTGAAGTGTAATATCAACTTTGTGTAAATTGGTATTCCGGTTGCAAGTTTCTCTCGTTGGAGCTTTATTTTCCTTTTTTTTAAGCTACGTGTATTGGTTCTGGTGTGTGTTGTTGATAGTCGGTTTCTGTAATCACCTTGGATCTCACTTCGGTTCGAATATTAGGCCTGTTTTCAATCGATTAATTACTATTAGGCCTGTTTAAGGCCTTCTAAAACTATGCATGTTTAAGTTTTAAATCCACTATTAACGCTAATACAATAAGGAATAGTGGAATACACGACCGAGTTAAGGAAATTCAGAAATTAGTCGACCCCATGACACAAATAAAATGATGATAATTTTTTTTATATTTAACCTCAAGAGAATGTATATATAATAAAAAACGTTCCACGTTTTGTCTCTTAATTTTTGTTCATGTCTTCGTTGTTTAGTATGTATCTAATACCTCACTAACCCTTTCTTTATTTTTATAAATATAAAAACTAGATAGAAAATGAAAGATTTTAAATGTTTGTATGATCTTTCATATGTTATAAGATCTTTCAATGTTGGTTTTCCAAGGCTCTGCTTCATTGTTGATGCTATTGTGGGTCATTTCTCTGATAAAATCCAAGGTCAATGGTAGCTAAATCTAGTTCTGAGACAAGTCCTGTTCATTCAAAAAGCCCCACACATAAGGAGATGAAGAAGGGAATCGAAGAGAAGACGATGAGCGTACCTTTCTACAAACTATTTGCTTTCTCAGATTCTACCGATGTGTTGTTGATGATCGTTGGTTCGATAGGAGCTATTGGAAACGGTCTTGGTTTTCCACTAATGACATTGTTTTTTGGTGATCTCATTGATACCGTTGGTTCACACCTGACCAACAGAGACATTGTTGATATAGTCTCCAAGGTTAGATCAGAACTCAAAAAGAAAACAATCTTTCAAGCTTATAATTAATTTTTATTTTATTTTTGTTATGTTTACTTTAGTGTGTTTGGTTATTATTCGTTTAGGTTTGTTTGAAATTTGTCTACCTTGGACTTGGGACACTAGTAGCAGCCTTTCTTCGTAAGTAATACTCCCTGATTCAGTTTACATTTTCAATGTAAATTTTGACATAAATACGTAATTTAGTTACAAGTGAAGAATAACAAAATAACATTAATACATGTGGGAAAATAACAAAACATTTATTGTAAAACAAAATGAGTACTATCAATTTTTTGTGTCTTTCTAAAGAAGAAAAGCAACTTTTAATTAATTTTTTTTTTCCCGGTTCTAGAGGTGTCTTGTTGGATAATTACGGGAGAAAGACAAGCTGCAAGGATAAGGAGTTTATATCTGAAAACGATTCTAAGACAAGACATTGGATTCTTCGATGCTGATACAAACACAGGAGAAGTTGTTGGTCGAATGTCAGGGGATACTGTTCTTATACAAGATGCTATGGGTGAGAAGGTAAAACAAACGAAAACTTCCGAAACAAAAGAGAAGCTTTTGTAATAGATTGAAAATTTCTAAAGTTTTTCAACATTCTTTTGCTCAGGTTGGGAAGTTTATACAGTTGATTGCAACATTCTTGGGAGGATATGCATTAGCGTTTGTGAAAGGATGGTTACTTACACTTGTTATGTTAACCTCAATTCCTCTCCTAGCTATCTCTGGTGCAGCTACGTCCATTATTTTTTCTAAAGCTTCTTCTCAACAACAAGCTGCTTATGCAAAAGCATCAACCATTGTTGAACAAACTTTCGGGTCTATTCGAACAGTAAAAATGCTTCTTTTATTTATTTTTTCTTGTTTATTTGTTGATGTTGGTAAAAAAAGTTCGAATCTTTAACCAAGTTATTGCGTGATTTCTTCAGGTTGCTTCTTTCACGGGAGAGAAGCAAGCGACGAGTAGCTACAAAGAGTTGATAAATTCGGCCTATAAATCGAGTGTTAAGCAAGGTTTCTCCACGGGTTTGGGTTTTGGAGTAATGTTCTTAGTCTTCTTTTGCAGCTATGCTTTGGCTATATGGTTTGGTGGAGAGATGATACTAAGAAAAGGGTATACAGGTGGTGCAGTGATTGATGTAATGATCATTGTGGTCGCGAGTTCCATGTGAGTAATAAAAAAAAAAAAAACACATTTTCTTTTAGAGTCTCAAGATATGTAAAAAGGGTTAAAACTCTGATTTTCTTTCTTTTCTTCTGTGTATAGGTCTTTAGGGCAAGCAGCACCTTGTCTAACCGCATTTGCAGCTGGTCAAGCTGCAGCTTATAAGATGTTTGAAACGATAAAAAGAAGACCTTTGATTGATGTTTTTGACCTAAATGGGAAGGTTTTAGAAGATATCCAAGGCAAAATCGAGCTTAGAGACGTGTGTTTTTGTTACCCTGCAAGGCCTAAAGAAGAGATCTTTGGCGGATTCTCTCTGTTGATTCCGAGTGGTGCAACCGCTGCTTTGGTAGGAGAAAGCGGGAGCGGGAAATCCACAGTGATCAGTTTAATCGAAAGGTTTTACGATCCGAACTCAGGCCAAGTGCTTATCGACGGTGTGGACTTGAAGGAGTTTCAGCTGAAATGGATTAGGGGAAAGATTGGTTTGGTTAGTCAAGAACCGGTTCTGTTTTCTTCAAGTATATTGGAGAATATCGGGTACGGGAAAGAGAGAGCAACGGTTCAAGAGATTCAAGCAGCAGCGAAGCTAGCAAACGCGGCTAAGTTCATCGATAAGTTGCCTCAGGGTTTTGAGACAATGGTAGGGGAACATGGAACTCAGCTCTCAGGAGGACAGAAACAGAGGATTGCAATCGCTAGGGCTATACTTAAAGACCCAAGGATTTTGCTTTTAGATGAAGCTACAAGTGCTCTTGATGCTGAATCTGAAAGAGTAGTTCAAGAGGCTTTAGATAGGGTTATGGTGAACCGGACTACTGTCATTGTCGCACATCGGTTAAGCACTGTGAGAAATGCTGATATGATTGCTGTGATTCACCGTGGAAAGATAGTTGAAGAAGGTAAATGATATAACATTCATCCTTTTGATTACAAGACATAGTTTCCTTCTAATTAGGTTTTACATTTCTGTAGGTTCACATTCGGAGTTACTCAAGGATCATGAAGGGGCTTATTCGCAGCTTATACGGTTACAAGAGGTAAACAAAGAATCAAATGGATTGGAGATTTCAAATGGATTGAGAGATGGATCAATCAGCGGAGGACCATCAAGAGGAAACAGTAGCAGTAGGAGACATGATGATAACTCTGTTTCCGATCTTGGTTTACTTGCAGGGCAAGAAATCACTGAAACGGCTCAAGAACAACCCCAAAATGTGTCCATTACTCGAATCGCTGCTCTTAACAAACCTGAAACTCCGATTATCATACTTGGAACCATAATATGTGCAGTCGACGGCACTATATTCCCGGTCTTCGGGCTCTTTTTTGCTAAAGTAATCATAGCTTTCTTCGAGCCGCCTCATGAGCTGAGGAGCGATTCAAGATTTTGGTCGATGATATTCGTGCTTCTCGGTGTGATTTCTTTGGTAGTGTATCCTACACATATGTACTTGTTTTCTGTAGCTGGAGGGAGATTGGTTCGGAGGATAAGATCAATGTGTTTTGAGAAAGTTGTTCACATGGAGGTTGGGTGGTTCGATGAGCCTGAGAATTCTAGCGGTGCGATGGGAGCGAGGCTCTCTGCTGATGCAGCCTTGGTTAGGACTCTTGTTGGCGACTCGTTGGCTCTAACGGTCAAGAACGCTGCATCCGCAGTGGCTGGAATTATCATAGCTTTCGTTGCAAGCTGGGAATTAGCGGTTATTATATTAGTATTGATTCCTTTGACCGGAATCAATAACTATGTTCAAGTTAGGTTCATGCAAGGCTTCAGTGCAGACGCAAAGGTTGATTGATTGGTCCTTTTTCTAATTAGGGTTTGTTACTTGTTCAAGAAGAAATCTCAAAGAAAATTGTTTACAGGCGAAGTACGAGGAGGCAAGTCAGGTGGCGAACGATGCGGTGGGAAGTATAAGAACGGTTGCGTCTTTCTGTGCGGAAGAGAAAGTAATGGATATGTATAAGAAACGATGTGAAGATCCGATCAAATCTGCGATTAAGCAAGGGTTAATCGCCGGATTAGGGTTTGGTCTCTCCTTCTTCGTTCTTTACTCTGTCTACGCTACTTGTTTCTACGCGGGTGCTAGATTGGTTAAAGAAGGAAGGACAACCTACGAAGGTGTTTTTCAGGTATTGTTTTTCTTCTTCTTAATTTGGAAATCTCTATAATGTTATAAATCTTGAGGAGAAAGAAAAGTTTCATGGTTTTGGATTGGAATGGGATTTAATTTTGTAGGTTTTCTTAGCGTTAACAATGACAACAATTGGAATATCCTCGGCGAGTTCTTTTGCTCCTGATTCAAGTAAAGCTAAGGGTGCTGCTGCTTCGATATTCGGGATTATTGATAGGAAATCGAAGATAGACTCGAGAGACGAATCGGGTATGGTGTTGGAGAACGTAAAGGGAGATATCGAGCTTTGTCACATAAGCTTCACTTACCAAACTAGACCTGACATTCAAATCTTTCGTGACCTTTGTTTCAGCATTCGTGCCGGACAGGTAACATTTTGCTTTACTTCAAATTCTTGTCGAATTCTTTAAAAGGTTACAATTCCACTCTTTATTAAATCTCGTGTGCTTATTTCAGACCGTTGCTTTGGTCGGAGAAAGTGGATCAGGTAAATCAACGGTGATCTCGCTGTTACAGAGGTTTTACGATCCGTATTCAGGTCATATAACTTTAGATGGAGTTGAGCTCAAGAAGTTGCAACTTAAATGGCTGAGACAACAAATGGGGCTTGTAGGGCAAGAGCCTGTCTTGTTCAACGACACGATAAGAGCCAACATTGCTTATGGAAAAGGCGGCAAAGAAGCGACTGAGGCTGAGATCGTAGCTGCCTCCGAGCTCGCTAATGCACACAAGTTCATCTCTAGCATACAAAAGGTAATCAAAACAGAACACTTATTTTTTATTTCTACATTTTGAGTTAAACAGAGAGATTACTTACTGAACAAGAAAACCTGTTTCCTATTTGTTATTAGGGTTACGATACGGTGGTGGGAGAGAGAGGGATACAGTTGTCCGGAGGACAGAAACAGCGCGTGGCAATTGCACGCGCCATCGTGAAAGAACCGAGGATTTTGTTGCTTGACGAAGCGACGAGCGCGTTGGATGCAGAATCGGAACGTGTGGTTCAGGACGCGCTTGACCGGGTGATGGTGAACCGGACCACCATCGTGGTAGCTCACAGGCTTTCGACGATCAAGAATGCTGACGTCATCGCCGTCGTCAAGAACGGTGTGATCGCGGAGAAAGGAACGCACCAGACGTTGATCAATATCGAAGGTGGTGTTTATGCTTCGCTCGTTCAACTTCACATGAGTGCTTCTAATTGATACAACCCTTTATCGATCGACGACCTCAGAAATAAATTTGGTTCTAAGTTGTTTGTCCATTATATTTTGCACTAACATTTTATTTAATTGTATAAAGCGTATGAAAGCCTTATTTCATGTGTGACAGTAAGACAATAATTTATCGAGATGTATTCGGTAAATGATTGAAAGTTCATTCTTTATTTTTTTGTTTTATAATTTTTAAGATTCTAACATTTTAATAATATTTTTTAAGAGTTCACAAGTGTGAGATTTTTTTAATATATTATATCCTAATTTTTTTTAGTAATTTACTCATGAAAATTTGTTGAACTTATGCTAAGTAATTCAATATTGATTAGATTTCATTTTTTGGGGTGATTATTATGAGATTATGAACCAAAATTTATCTATCTTATAGATTCGTGACTATAGATCATTTAATTAAAGAATCAGAAGCATAAAACCAAAGTTTGAATAAAGATCCTTCTTTATTAATGTTTAGAAAATCTTCTCAAAACTAAACACAAGCTTTCTCTTTGCTCTTATGATCATACATCCTTCTTATGATCTCTATTTATATAGGTATGTATTTCCTATTCTAATTTCCTTTATAGATTAGGATTACAATTTTTCCTTTTCCTTATTAGATTCTTATTTCCTTTAAGGATATCTTCTAGAATCTTCTTGAAGCTTACCCAACATTCACCCCCTTAGGCTTCAAGTTGATCTTGATGAGGTCTTGAACTCCGATCATGTCTCTCATCCTTTTAAACCTGATTCTCGCCAAGGCTTTGGTAAGAATATCTGCACGCTGTTCTTCTCCAGGTACATGTTCCACTTCGATCAAACCGTTCTCTACACATTCACGAACGAAATGAAAACATTTGTGAATGTGTTTACTTTTTTTGTGAAAAACCGGGTTCTTGGTGAGTTCGATAGCCGATTTGTTGTCAATGGGGATCATCATCTTCTCATACTTCTTCCCTGTGATTTCACTTAGTAAGTCTTGTATCCATATAGCTTGTTTAGCTGCTTCCGTAGCTGCCATGAACTCTGCTTCACATGAGGACAAGGCTACTGTTTCTTGTTTTTGCGAGCACCAAGTTATGGGGGCTTCTCCGAGATAAAACACATGTCCCGTAGTGCTTCTCCCGTCGTCAGGATCCGTGTTGTGGCTGCTATCACTATAGCCTACAATGACTGGTGCTCCTTTCTTGTATGTGATTCCATAGCCTACCGTTCCTTGCAGGTACCTTAGAATCTGTTTCAAAGCATTCCCATGCGATTCTCTTGGATCATGCATGTACTTACTCAGAATTCCTACTGAGAAAGCAAGGTCAGGTCGTGAATGTAAGAGATATCTCAAACATCCAATCCTTCTTCGATACATGGTCGCTTCGATCTCTGGTTCATCCAATCCTTTTGACAATTGTAAAGCGAACTCCATTGGTATGTGTGTCGGGTTACAAGCATCTAAACCAGCTTCCTTAAGAATTCGACGAGCATAGGCTTCTTGCTTAATCTCAATTCCATTGATTCCTTGACTTACTTCAATACCGAGATAATAAGTAAGTTTCCCAAGGTCGGTCATCTCGAACTTTGAAGACATTCCAGCTTTAAACTCATTGATGAGCTTCAATGTACTTCCTGTAACAAAAAGATCATCGACGTATACGGCCACAATCAAAATTTTAACTCCTTCTTCCTTGCGGTATACAGAACTTTCCTTTTGACACTTTATAAACTTCAACGTCTTTAGAATTTGGTCAAGTTTTGTATTCCAGGCGCGAGGAGCTTGACGTAGACCATAAAGAGCCTTCTTAAGTTTGAAAACCTTATGTTCTTCTCCCTTCTTTTCAAATCCATCAGGTTGTGAAACGTAAACGTCCTCTGTTAGTTCACCATGTAGAAAAGCGGTTTTTACGTCGAGATGATGAATTTCCCATCCGTGTGAAGCTGCTAAACCAATCAACATTCTAATTGATTCTAACCTCGCAACAGGTGCGAATACCTCGTCAAAATCAATCCCTTCTCTTTGTGCATATCCTTTTGCAACAAGTCTAGCCTTGAATTTGTTAATTGTTCCATCAGCATTCCTTTTGATCTTAAAAACCCACTTAAGACCAATTACTTTTACACCATGTGGTTTCTCACTTAGATCCCACGTTCTGTTTTTGTTAATCGAGTCGATCTCCTCTTGACATGCCTTTGTCCATTCGACTGATTCTTTTGCTTCTTGGAAATTTTGTGGTTCATCGTTGAGTGACAAGAGAAGCAATTCACATTCTAGATCAGCAAGAAGTACATAGTCGACAAGATAACCAGGAGGATTGCGTGATCGTGTCGATCTTCTCGGTAAAGCTATCTCTGTTTCATCGTTGTCGAGATTCTGCACTTCTTCTACCTCTGTTTCTTCTTGATCATCTACTGGTTGAGAACTATTATCCGTGTATGGTCCTTGTCCATTATCTATAACTTCTCCCCATGTCATTCGAAACATTCCTGGTTGACCTTCTTCTTTGTCTACTCCCTTCCAATTCCAAGATTCCTTTTCATTGAAAACCACATCGCGACTTACAACTATTCTTCTCGTTGTTGGGTTGTAAAGTCGATATGCCTTGGTTCCTGGTTCTATTCCGAGGTGGACAAGCGTTTGTGATCGATCATCAAGCTTCTTCAGGTGCTCTGCTTCTACCTTTGCATGAGCAATGCATCCAAAAATCCTAAGATGTTCGATACTTGGTTTTGTTTCTCTTAGACATTCATACGGTGTTTGATTTCTTAGAGCACGAGTGGGAACTCTGTTGATCAAATATGTTGAATGTCTTACAGCTTCCCCCCATAAGTAATTCGGAACATTCATGGCCTTAAGGATGCTCCGCGTCATCTCCATTAATGTACGATTTCTTCTCTCAACTACTCCGTTTTGTTGAGGAGAATAGGGTGCTGTGAGATGTCTTCTGATTCCGTTTGTGTTACAGAATTCTTGAAAATCACTTGATGTAAACTCTCCACCTCTGTCTGTGCGTAAAGTTACAATTTTCTTGTCACACTCCTTCTCGACAAGAGCTCTTGAAACTTCTCAAAGGCTTGACTCTTCTCCTTGAGCAAAATTTTCCACATATATCTAGTGTAATCATCCACTATTACAAAGATATATTGGTTTCTAGCAAGTGTGGCTGGTGATATAGGTCCACAAAGATCTGCATGTAACAACTCCAATGCTCGTTTAGACCTATATTGTGTCGAATTTGGAAACACATGTTTCGTCTGCTTTCCTACCAAACATGATTCACACAACACTTTCTTACACGAGATTTTAGGCATCCCTCGTACCATATCCTGTGTCACCATTGAATTCAACGTTTGAAACTGATATGACCGAGTCTCGCATGCCATCTCCATGGTTCTTCTTCTATTCTTGTGTGTAAACATGTTGGTTTGCCAATTTTTAGACCGATCTTGTATAGTCTATTTGGAGAGCGAGTTACTTTGACCAACAAACATCCATTGGGATCGAGCAAAGTGAGGTAATCATCCTTCATTCTCACATCACAGCCGTATTATGTAGCTTGACCTAAGCTTAGAATATTGCTCTTCAGCATTGGAATATAGTAGATATCTGTTAGTAGTCTCTGTTCTCCGTTTCTTCCTTCGAAAAGAATAGATCCTTTTCCACCAATACTGACACAAGATCCGTCACCAAACTTCACCATTCCTTTGATGCTTTCGTTTAATTCAGAAAATATCCCCTTTTTCCTGTCATATGATTGCTAGCACCATTATCCAAATACCAGATTCCATCTTCTCTTTTGTTTGACTCGTACTTCTCTGGAATCACCTTCTCCTCATTTAAGTACACAATTTCGTGCATATACAAGGCTTTATCTGCTTCTTCTGTCTCGTTTTTGTTGAGTTCTTGATCCTTTGCGATCTTCACCGGACAATCTGATGCAAAGTGACCAGGTTTTTCGCAACGGAAGCAAACAATGTGAGATCTGTCCTTTGGTTCTTTGTCTTGAGTGTTCCCTCTTCCACGTCCTCTGCCTCTGTTCCCTCTTCCACGTCCTCTGCCTCTACCACGTCCTCTTCCTTTACCACTGTCTCCTTCCGTTTTTGAGAACAGGAGGTTTTGTTGAGTTTCTTGTGCAGCAGTTTCTCCGTTTATACGAGATTCAAAAGCTTTAAATCTCCCAACAATGTCCTCGAAACTAGTTTTATTTAGGTCCAAGACTTGTTCAAGAGAAGCAATGAGATGTATAAACTTATTGGAGGGTAGACTGTTTAGAAACTTCTTCACCAATTTTGGTGCATCAAGAGTTTGACCAAGAGAGGCTGCAGTCGATGCTATCTCTGATAACTTTCCTGAGTAACTATCGATAGTGTCCGAATCTTTCATCTTCAAACGCTCAAATTCAGACATTAGGGTTTGGAGGCGAGCTTCCTTGACGCGTTCAACACCTTGATTCAGCGATTTTATTGCTTCCCAGATGTCTTTTGGTGATTCTTGTTCGCCGATTTGCAGAGTAAGGTTCTCTGGTATGGACTGGTACAGCAAAGCGGTTGCAATATCGTTCTTCTCTTCATCATCCGTTCCTGGATCAATCGCAACCCAGGCTTTGTAAACTTTCAATGTCGCCTTCATCCTCAATGTTCAGACTGTGTAATTTGTTGTGTTCAACATCGGACATTGAACGGCGGATGTTGACGCCATCTTCTTGACCTCCGGTTTTGCATCTGCCATGATTCGTAAGAGTTCTTTTTCTCTTCAGGATTTGCTCTGATACCAAATAAAGAATCAGAAGCACAAAACCAAAGTTTGAATAAAGATCCTTCTTTATTAATGTTTAGAAAATCTTCTCAAAACTAAACACAAGCTTTTTCTTTGCTCTTATGATCATACATCCTTCTTATGATCTCTATTTATATAGGTATGTATTTCCTATTCTAATTTCCTTTATAGATTAGGATTACAACTTTTCCTTTTCCTTATTAGATTCTTATTTCCTTTAAGGATATCTTCTAGAATCTTCTTAAAGCTTACCCAACATTAATAAGATTCTGTCCAAATGTCCCTTAATTACAGTATGTGAATTTTAAATTTTACTCTGAGTGATTTTTCAGTTGAGTTGATGATATATAATAGATTTCATTTTTTTAAGCTAAAGACACTTAGTAGCATCCTTTTTTATCGAAGTTTTTTTTTTTTAATTGAATAAAACTTTTGAAGTATTATTTACAATTGTCATGTTTACAACAAATCAATTTTAATGCATTGTTTAGGATCACTAATTAATTTATATATAGATGAAATGACTCAAATGAAGATGTAGCTCAAATGGTAGACGTTTACTTTGCATGCGAGAGACAAATGGTAGATTATACTTTGCAACACATGCCATATGTTATACATGTTGCAGAAGTAGATACATATAATATTATTACCATTCAATACTCCGCCTGTCATGTGATATTAATATGATTTCCGAAGAGTATGTAATTCAATCAAAATCAAATCAAGGAAAAAAATAAAGCTAGTACTTAAATAAAATTGGATTTTGATTTTTAATTTTTCTTGAACCACAAGGTATACAAAACCCAGTCATAAACGACACCGCTTTCCAGAATTTAACCGTTACGTTACTTGTTTACTGCTTTTGGAGAGGTTCAGGAGCCGACGTCATTTACTGCCACGTCATGCAGTGTGCTGGCGTTAAATTTTCTAACCAATCGAATCATACGTTTACGCCAGCAAGGCAAGCGCGGTAAGTGGAGAATGTCAGAATGACCAAATAGCTGTAGCTTCATTGCTAATAATTACGAAACTGCCACGCATCGAGTGAAAGAAAAAAGAGGGGAGAAAATAAAATCGAGAGGGGAAATGGAGACTGGTGAGATCGTAAGCTAGGATTCAATGCGAGTCAAAAATCCGTCTACGAATCCGAAATTTCTTCCCAATTTCTCGAGTTATCTCTCCGATTAGGGTATTTCAATTCTCTTTCCCACTTCTGCTTCAGATTTCTGCCTTTTTTTGGCCCTAAATTCTCCACCTGATTTTGCGATTTGCCTTTTGCGGCGGGTTGGTTTCAGCTGATATACACTTCTGCGGATTTGGGATTGTGGGTGATAGGAATCTGGACTGGTAAGTCGATTTTCTCAAACAAAGGAACTGGTGATTTTAGGTTAGTATTAGCTAAAATGATAACTTCGCAATTGTCCTGTGTATTTTGATCTTTTTGAGCTTGTTTAGTTTAAGTTACTCGCTTTTTCAGTAGGGATAAAGATTGTTCGTTGAAATTCTATGCAGATTCTTGATCTGGGCAGAGTTCAAAGCTGCTGAGTTTGTGGACTGTGTGTGATCTTACTTTGTTCAAACTATCGAATTCGTAAGTAGAAAGTTGTCGTCCGATGGCTAACTTACCACAGAGATCGGTTAAGTACCCGGGCACTCTCAGTCCTATAGAACCAGATAGACCATCAACACAGCCGGAAAGAAGCCCAGTCCCTCATTCTTCTCCAATAGTAGCTTCACCTACACCTCCTAGGTATCCTCAACCAAGTTTCAGACCAGATCAGATGCCTTCACCTTCGATGATGTCACCTTCGAATGGTGTTAGAACCGGGAGTCCTGTTCCTCGTATGAGTACTCCGCCTGGTCCCCCTTTCTTCAATACTCCTGTCAAACCAGCTGCTGTGCCTTTCCGTACCTCTCCAGCTACTCCTCAGCCTATGGCATACTCTTCTGCCACGGCTTCTTCTCTGCCTGTATCTACACCTTCCTTTTACTCAAACGGCTCATCAGCTGGATCGCAGCGTGATCTTCCAGATGTTGTTAAGATGGAGGAGCCAATAGCTCCAGACTCGCCTTATGTTTTGTTTTCTGCAAATAAGGTATCTTTCTTACCCTTTCAGTTCACATTTGGTGCGCGTAAGTTTTTATTGGTGTCTTATCCAACAGTCTGGTTTCTTTTGTCTTCTTATCCTCTTGAGTGCCTGCTATTTGAATTTTCTTCATCCATCAATTTCCATTTGTTTATTTATGTCATTTAGGTTTTAAAGCAGAAGAAGCTCGCTAATGTTGCTAGCCTGGGGTTTGGAGCAATAGTTTCTGCGGGGAGGGAGATTAGTCCTGGTCCTCAGATTATCCAACGTGACCCACATCGCTGCCTGAACTGTGGAGCGTACTCTAATCCCTATAGCTCCATATTAATTGGTTCAGGCCAATGGCAGTGCGTCATCTGCGAGAACATGAATGGAAGTAAAGGTGAATATGTAGCTTCGAGCAAGGATGAGTTAAAAAGCTTCCCTGAACTTTCATTGCCTCTGGTTGATTATGTTCAGACTGGAAACAAGAGGCCTGGGTTTGTTCCTGCCTCTGATTCTCGGACATCTGCACCTGTCGTCCTTGTTATTGATGAGTGTTTAGATGAACCACACCTTCAGCACTTGCAGAGCTCTTTGCATGCGTTTGTAGATTCGCTTCCACAAACTACCAGGCTCGGGATTGTACTGTATGGACGTACTGTCTCGATATATGATTTTTCTGAAGAATCCGTAGCGTCAGCCGATGTTATTTCTGGTGCAAAATCACCATCTGCAGAGTCGATGAAATCGCTGATTTATGGGACCGGTGTATACTTGTCACCAATGCATGCATCACTAAAGGTAGCACATGAGATATTCTCGTCCTTAAGACCATACACATTGAATATTCCTGAAGCATCTAGAGATAGGTGCCTTGGAACTGCTGTTGAGGCTGCTTTTGCCATAATTCAAGGACCATCAGCAGAAATGTCTCGGGGAGTGGTCAGAAAAGCAGGAGGTAACAGTAGAATCATTGTTTGCGCTGGTGGACCCATTACATATGGTCCCGGATCAGTACCTCATTCGATGACTCATCCAAATTATCCATATATGGAAAAGACAGCAATAAAATGGATGGAGAATCTGGGGCGTGAAGCTCACAGACACAATACTGTCGTCGACATTTTGTGCGCTGGAACCTGTCCTCTCAGAGTTCCTGTTCTGCAGCCACTTGCAAAAGCTTCAGGCGGTGTTTTGGTTCTTCACGATGATTTTGGTGAAGCCTTTGGTGTGGACTTGCAGAGGGCTGCCACAAGGGCAGCGGGTTCACATGGTCTGCTTGAAGTTCGGTGTTCAGATGATATTCTCATAACTCAGGTGATTGGACCTGGCGAAGAAGCACATTCAGAAACTCACGAGACGTTTAAGAGTGATGCGGCTCTCTGTATTCAGATGCTGAGTGTTGAAGAAACACAAAGCTTCTCTCTCTCGATGGAGAATAAGAGAGACATCAAAAGAGATCACGTCTTTTTCCAGTTTGCTTTCCATTATTCGGATGTTTATCAAGCCGATGTGTCTCGAGTTATCACGTTCAAATTGCCAACTGTTGATAGTGTCTCAGCATACCTTCAGAGTGTAGAGAACGAAGCTGCTGCGGTTCTCATCTCAAAGAGAACTCTTTTGATAGCGAAAACTCAGAAGGACGCAGTCGATATGCGAGCTACCGTAGATGAAAGAATCAAAGACATTGCTTTGAAATTCGGATCGCAAGTGCCAAAATCAAAGCTTTATAGCTTCCCCAAGGAACTATCTTCCCTTCCGGAGCTGCTCTTCCATCTAAGGAGGGGTCCTCTATTGGGAAACATCATTGGTCATGAAGATGAGAGATCGGTGCTACGGAATTTGTTTCTAAACGCATCTTTCGATCTGTCCCTTCGAATGGTAGCACCACGTTGCTTGATGCACCAAGAAGGTGGTACGTTCGAGGAACTACCAGCGTATGATCTTTCTATGCAATCAGATAAGGCGGTTATTCTTGACCATGGCACAGATGTATTTATTTGGTTGGTAAGTTTCTTCTGAATTCCATCAAGTGGCTTAAAATGTCTCTCTCAATAGCGTTTTTGTTAATCTTTCTTTCTTTTTTTTGTCGATTTAGGGAGCTGAACTGTCTGCTGATGAGGTGAAGAGTGCTGCAGTTTTAGCAGCCTGCAGAACGTTGGCTGAAGAGCTAACTGAATTCCGGTTTCCAGCACCGCGCATTCTCGCGTTCAAGGTTGATGATATTTCAGAATCTCATACACATTTCTCAAAACATCGTATCGTTGAAACGAAGCTAATATATTGTGAACATTGTTGTGTTGTGTGTACAAAACAGGAGGGAAGCTCCCAGGCTAGATACTTTGTTTGCCGGCTTATACCAGCGCATAAAGATCCTCCTTATGAGCAGGTAAAACATCGAAAATCCCGAGTTGTGGGAGCTTGATTTATTGATTGCTTTTTTCTTCCTCTGAATCAAATTTCTGTGTGCAGGAAGCAAGATTTCCGCAGGTAAGAAAGTTGACGACGGAGCAAAGAAGAAAACTAAAGAGTAGTTTTATAGAGTTTGATGAAGACAGTTTCTGCGAATGGATGAGGAGTTTGAATGTTTTGCCTCCTGAGCCCAGGTAGAAACTTAGGTTTCAGTCTTCATTATATCTGCTTCTATCGCTTCTCTTTTGTTCTTTCGGTTACTGTATTTGAGTCTTTTGTTTTTTAGGATTTTCTCTTTCCAGTTTCCTTTGTTGTCAATTGAATCATATATACTTTTGTTATAACAGCGAAATAAAAGTCTAGTCTAGTGATTGAATTGATGACCGTTATTTCTTCTGTTTACCATTCTACAGTCGATGTTTACCCGCTCTCACTATGATGACGTGTCAATTGTCTTTGCCCTTTTTGTTAAGGGATATCATAATTTGAGATCATTCTTTTATTTTTTTGGTTAAGGATATACTCTGGTGTTATTATTAGTCACACTGCATACTCATACAAACTAAAACCAAAAGTATGCAACTAAAAACATAAAATCTGGATCCAAATCCAATGATTTATCTTTGTGAATTTACTTGTGCAAAAAAGAGAAGCTAGGAAACAAACATGATAGAAACACGATGACGTGGCAAACAGAAGGTTATCCACCAGAAAATTGCGTTTAGGGGGGGGGCATAAATGTAATTTTCGTTACCTTATCCTCAACGTCTCAAATTCTCTCCCTCGTGCTCTTCACTCGACGACACACGAAAACCGGAAACCAAAGTTTCTAGCCGGACTGTTGTCGCTCCCGCCGGCAATTCTCCCGGCTCGCCGTCGATGATGGTATCTCCACTCTGCGACTTTCAGTTACTAAACCTCCGCCCTTCGATCTCACCTACAGCTTCTCACTTCGTGATCGCGGAGGGAAAATTCCTCAGGCAGAATCGTCTTCTTAGCTCTTCGCCGTTTTTGGGCGCCAAATTCGGAAACGGATTCAAGTCAGGGTTACCCGGATGTAGTAGCTGCTCTCGGCGGAGGAGCACGAGTGTAAATGCTTCATTAGGTGGTCTTCTCAGCGGGATTTTCAAGGGTACTGATAATGGAGAGTCGACGAGGCAACAGTACGCGTCCATCGTCGCCTCCGTCAATCGATTGGAGACGGAGATTTCATCTCTTTCGGATTCGGAATTGCGGGAGAGGACTGATGCGTTAAAGCAACGGGCTCAGCGAGGAGAATCCATGGATTCACTTCTGCCTGTAATTTGTTTTCAACCTTTTGTTTCAATTTTTCTTTGTTTTGTGGTTTGACTCCAATGTTTTGCTTCAACTGTGGAATTTTCTAATTGCAGGAGGCATTTGCTGTTGTGAGAGAAGCTTCCAGGAGAGTTCTCGGACTTCGACCTTTCGATGTGCAATTGATAGGTAACACAATCTCTGTGGGCTTTCACTATTAAGATTGTTGAGTAAACTCCTTATTTGGTTTGATTGCAGGTGGTATGGTCCTTCATAAAGGAGAAATAGCAGAGATGAGGACTGGTGAAGGAAAAACGCTTGTAGCCATTTTACCAGCTTATTTGAATGCTTTAAGTGGGAAAGGTGTTCATGTGGTTACAGTCAATGATTATCTGGCTCGAAGGGATTGTGAATGGGTTGGTCAAGTTCCTCGATTCCTTGGATTGAAGGTTGGTCTTATCCAACGTATGTCTCTTTCTCTAAACTCTTTGTTTATCTCTTTTTCTTTTCTTTTTTTTTCGTCCAATGTATGATCCAATGCGTTAAGTTTGTTAATTGGTAAAACCTAACTTCCGGATTGGTCAATGTGATCATCATTCACATAGTTTGTATACTTTGGCAGAGAATATGACACCTGAACAAAGAAAGGAAAACTATTTATGCGATATCACATATGTCACCAACAGTGAGCTTGGGTTCGATTATCTGAGAGACAATCTTGCCACGGAAAGTAATTCTTGCTCTATTTACTCTTCTCATTCTGGATGATATGAATTTTCCTTGAATGTCTTTACTGAGTTAGTTACTTTAATGTGCAGAGCGTGGAGGAGCTCGTCTTGAGGGATTTTAATTATTGTGTAATTGATGAAGTTGATTCCATACTTATTGATGAAGCAAGGACTCCTCTTATTATCTCTGGGCCTGCAGAGAAACCTAGTGACCAATATTACAAAGCTGCAAAGATTGCTTCAGCCTTTGAGCGTGATATACATTACACTGTATGACTCCTCAGTTTTCCTTTTTTTTGTGTGAAATGATAAGGTGGAGTTGGCCATCCATCTTCAAAATTCTAAGTGCTCACTAAGTTTTTTGGTGTTGCAGGTTGATGAAAAGCAGAAGACTGTTTTACTAACGGAACAGGGTTATGAGGATGCAGAAGAAATCCTGGACGTGAAAGATTTGTATGATCCTCGTGAACAATGGGCGTCGTATGTTCTTAATGCCATCAAGGCAAAAGAACTTTTTCTCAGAGATGTGAACTATATCATCCGGGCAAAGGAGGTTCTTATCGTGGATGAGTTTACTGGTCGTGTAATGCAGGTACTTGTTTATATCGATTATTGATATGTAAAACATCACTATTTATTATTTTAGTGATCCCACTGGCTACGGCTCAGAAAAATTTTCAGGCCACAAGAAAAACATAGAAAACCAAAAAAAAGCAGGACGTAGTAATCCACGAATAAGTTGGCTCTTTTGTAGGGAAGACGTTGGAGTGACGGACTACATCAAGCAGTTGAAGCAAAAGAAGGCTTGCCAATTCAGAATGAATCTATTACACTGGCATCAATTAGTTATCAAAATTTCTTTCTTCAGGTTGGTAATGCCTGCTTTCCACTTTTTGAATAAAGTTACTATGAGATTGTAATGCTTAATTTCTACTATGGTGTAGTTCCCTAAACTTTGCGGGATGACTGGCACTGCATCGACCGAGAGTGCAGAATTTGAGAGCATATACAAGCTGAAAGTTACAATTGTACCCACAAATAAGCCCATGATAAGAAAGGTTTGTCTCGTATCGTATGTTCTGAACTTGCACCTCAAAATTCTGTTTGGTTATTCTTCGGTATTAGTCTCCATCGGAAGACCTAAAATGCTTGCTTGTAGGCCTTCTAATGAGATCTTTTAAAGTGAGAAAATGTTAAGCATCCATGCTAGCTCTTGAAGCATTTGTATGCTGTACTAGCTTTCAGTTTTGGTGTTTTGTCTTTTCGAACAAAAACCTTTCTCTTACCCAGTCTAATACCCTGTTAAATCACTTGCAGGATGAGTCAGATGTGGTTTTCAAGGCAGTTAATGGAAAATGGCGGGCAGTTGTTGTGGAGATTTCTAGAATGCACAAGACAGGTAGGGCTGTGCTGGTTGGTACAACCAGCGTCGAGCAGAGTGACGAGCTCTCTCAACTATTGCGGGAGGCTGGAATACCTCATGAGGTAAGGATTTCATGTACTTTCGAAATAAAAAAATAATAAAACTCTTCGACGTTAATCTATGCAGAACTAAATCCAATTTTTTTGCTCTGTTTGTATTTAGTCCAAAAAGACCTTTTTCATCTAAACAAATGGTGCCTGTAAAGACAAACCAATTTGAAACAAATCGTATTCCCTGTACAAGAAACTGACTGATGATGTTATACATATTGTACAAAAAGGTGCTCAATGCAAAACCAGAAAATGTGGAGAGGGAAGCTGAAATTGTAGCACAAAGTGGACGTTTAGGGGCTGTAACGATTGCCACAAATATGGCTGGGCGTGGGACAGACATAATTCTTGGTGGAAACGCAGAGTTTATGGCACGTTTGAAGCTCCGTGAGATACTTATGCCCAGGTAACATGCATGTAGCATTTTAAAATGTAATTATATTTTAAACCTTGATTGTTACAGGTTATGTACATTGTTTGGCGAAGAACTTTGGAGTTCATAGTTTCTTTTTACCTGAATTTGTTACATATTGACTGTTACTACAGAGTGGTAAAGCCTACAGATGGTGTTTTCGTATCTGTGAAGAAGGCCCCTCCCAAGAGGACGTGGAAGGTTTGGCCTTCAGAGTCTGGTTTTGGTTTAAAGCATAAGATTCTAATAGTTACACTGCTCTAAGTAGACAGAATACTTTACGGTGCAGGTGAATGAGAAGTTGTTTCCATGCAAATTGTCAAGTGAGAAAGTAAAGCTAGCTGAGGAAGCTGTACAATCAGCTGTAGAGGCTTGGGGCCAAAAATCGTTAACTGAACTTGAAGCAGAGGAACGTCTATCTTATTCTTGTGAAAAGGTGAACAACTGAGAAATCCTGGAAGTCTATCTTGATATATTAATGTAGAGCTATCTTAGTCATCGATCTTTACCCTTTTTCCCAGGGTCCTGTCCAAGACGAAGTCATTGGTAAACTGAGGAATGCATTTCTTGAGATAGCGAAAGAATATAAGGGCTATACGGATGAAGAAAGGAAAAAGGTTGGTTCTGCAAAAGCAGAGCAGTATGTGAACCACTCTTTCAAGTGTCTGTTGTTGATCTTTTATGGTCCTAACTTTTTGCAGGTTGTGGAAGCTGGTGGACTCCATGTGGTAGGGACTGAGCGACATGAATCACGTCGAATAGACAATCAGGTTCTCTTAAAATGTTTGTTGCCAGGAGATTTATGATTTATTTAATTTCCTTTTCCAGTGGAATAATTCTTCTTGAATGTGTTTTGTTCCCTCATACAGTTGCGTGGGCGAAGTGGAAGGCAGGGGGATCCTGGAAGTTCCCGGTTCTTCCTTAGTCTTGAAGATAACATATTCCGCATTTTTGGGGGAGATCGCATTCAGGTGACTGTTTGTATCAACAATTTTGTTCATTCTTTTGGAGAATACTCTCGTAAATGTAGCTGCCACTCAACTCTCCTAGGGTATGATGAGAGCATTCAGGGTGGAAGACTTACCGATCGAATCCAAGATGCTTACTAAAGCTCTAGATGAAGCTCAGAGAAAAGTCGAGAATTACTTCTTTGACATCAGAAAGCAATTATTCGAATTTGACGAGGTTCTCAATAGCCAAAGAGATCGTGTTTACACAGAGAGGAGGCGTGCTCTTGTGTCAGACAGCCTCGAGCCTCTGATTATCGAGTATGCTGAACTGACAATGGATGACATTCTAGAGGTAAGCTGTTTGAAAACTGATACCAATAAAACAACTTCTTTATTCCCTGAATCTGTTTTATACCAACAGTTGAAACGTCGTTTTACTTAATAATAGGCGAATATTGGGCCGGATACTCCAAAAGAAAGCTGGGATCTTGAAAAGCTCATCGCGAAAGTTCAGCAGTAAGAATTACATTTCTCTAAGAGAAGAGAAAACACTTAGATAAAATAAATGCAACTTCCATTTGTTTAAGCTCTTAAAACTTCCAAATGCCAATCTCTTAGGTACTGTTATCTGCTGAACGATCTCACTCCGGATTTACTGAAAAGCCAAGGATCAAGTTATGAGGGATTGCAAGATTATCTCCGTGCCCGTGGCCGCGATGCATACTTGCAGAAAAGAGTAAGTTTGATTGCTCTAAGCCTTTTTCGCATTGGTATAAGAGATGTACTAAAAGCTACGTTGGGTTTTGGTTGATTAAAAAGCTTGTTTTTGACTCTCAGGAAATCGTGGAGAAACAAGCACCAGGGCTAATGAAAGATGCTGAAAGATTCTTAATCTTGAGCAATATCGACAGGTTATGGAAAGAACACCTTCAGGCACTCAAGTTTGTGCAACAAGCTGTCGGGCTTAGAGGATATGCACAACGCGATCCGCTCATCGAGTATAAGCTCGAAGGATACAATCTGTTTCTGGAAATGATGGCTCAAATACGAAGAAATGTTATATACTCCATATATCAGGTTCTTGATTAATTCGAAATTCTCTACTTCACACACACACATACATTCATTCATCACTAATTCACCTTTTGATTACTTTTTTTGGTGGCAGTTTCAACCAGTGATGGTGAAAAAGGACCAAGAGAAGAAGTCTCAGAACGGGAAACCAAGCAAACAAGTGGATAATGTTAGTGAGAAGCCTAATCAAGTCGGTGTAGCAGATGAGCCATCCTCAATTGCCAGCGCCTGAGACCGGTAAACAGTAAATCTTTTTGGGTACAGAGCAGCGGGAATTCGTCTTTAGAAAAAAAGAGATGGGTGGATACATTGACAAAACTTGGAATCTCTAAATTTGTTGTCAATCTCATTTATAAATTATAATGTATATATAAGTACACTTAGAGAGGATCACATCACAACAAAACCAGATCAAAAGAAACTTCCTTCGTCATTACAGGATCAAGAATCACTTGGAAGAATCTGTTGGAGTACAAGGTTGAGATCGCTTCCTCTCGCCTTGATGCCAATGGCTAGAGCCGTCTTGAGCTTAACCAACTCTCCTAACCTAAGAGAAGCTCGTTTGTTGTCTCTGATAAAGAGAACCGGGACGTTCCTTGAAGCAGCTAAGTTCGGGATATGCTTAGTGAGCATCCTCGGTTTGCAATCTGCTACTACTATCACTACCTGTGATGGGGAAAAAAAAAAAATACTCTCAAATCACTTAAAAGTCCTTTCCATCAAATTTAGATTGTTAGGGTTTTAGAGTTTACCTGAAGTTGAGGTTGTCTAGGGTTAAGTTGTTGGTCACTAGTGTTGAGCTTCATCCTCTCAAGAACACGCGTGACCTCGTTGATCCCAATCGCGATTTGTTGCTGATTTTCAAATCGTTCGCCGAAACAAAAAAAAAAAAAAAAAAACATGAATGATTTCGATAATCAAACAATGGAAATCGAACTTTGAGAAGGAAAGAAAGAAAGGGATAGCAAGAGTAGAGAAAGAAACCTTGAGCCATATCTTCTCAGGTAATGAGTTCGCATTCGAAAGCTTGGACGTCTCAATGCCTCTAATTTCCAAATATCCCACACCAAAAGTTTTTTTTTCTTAAAAAAAATCGATATGTACGTAGAGAGATTTGTAAAGGGTTTTCTAAGGGTTTTAGAGTATTACCTCTGGATCAAGCCGAGGAGATGAGTTAGACGTTCGCCTTCAAAGCAACTACAAAACAGAACAGAGTAGAGAGGCAGAGAGATTGAATTAAGAAAAGAAAAAAACATTTTTTCTGTTAATTAGGAGAGAAAGGAAGAATCAGCTTACTCTGATTCTTTGACGATATTGGAATCAGCTTCTATCTTCTGAGGGTTTATTGGCGTGACGCCTCTCATCTTCTGAGGGTTTTGATGAAGTCGTTATGCACACACCAACTGTTCGATAGATATACCCACTGCGATTTTTTTTATTTGGGTCTACATTCGTTTATAAAGGTCTTTTCCGTAATTACCCAAACACTCTTTCCTTTTTCTTTTCTTTTTGTTGCTTTGGTTCTTTGACATGGTGTAATTACCAAGGAAGAGGAGGAAATCATTGCTCATGCAATTGTTTTGGGCAGTGGAAAGTCTGGTCAACCTCCACATCAATTTTTGAATTTCCTTTTATACTAGCACATAATCTTTAAGACAAGACCGTCTTTTTACTTGTTAAGTGATTTAATTGAGTTTTTTTTAAAAAAAAAAATCTGACATAAGAAGGAGATGTTTCGAATTGACAAATAATGTTTCAAACTTGTGATCTTAATCGGTTTATCTGTGGACCTGTGGTGAATGATAGGGCAATGATTTCTGAATAGATTATAGAAGACAGATGATGAAGGCTGACGATGTGTTTAAGGCAATCGAAGAAATGGAATTTGCAGAATTTTTGGAGCCGCGTGATAAATGAGTTTATAGGTTGTTTCTCTTGAAGGTTAGTGTTTCTCGGAAAAAAAAAAAGATAGACATTCAATCTCTTGTTTATTCTATAAGAAACATGGAAAGTCGTTGTCATCAAAGAGAAAAAAAGGAAATATGTGGAAAGTTTCTTCTTACATGAAATTCGGATAAATATATAATTTTTATTTTGGATAAATTTAAAATTTCAACAACAAAATTAAATGTCTTTTTATCTTTAGTCGGTTACCTAAACACATTTGGTTTAGGATTGTCCCTTTTTTTCTATAAATATAACGTCACACTCACAATTCTTGTTGTTTCGTTTTCTCTAAAGAACCATCAATCATGACTAAGATTCGACGCTCTCAAATCCCTGGTATGCGTTTCGATCCCTCAGACTTGCAGCTCGTCAACATACTTGGCCGAAGAATCTATAATAACAAACTATCTAGATACGTAACCGATATTCATAATCTGTACGAGCAAGAACCGTGGCTTCTTCACCACGTAAGACACGTTAAGTTCAAGGAGAACGAGTGGTTTTACTTCGTCACGAGGAAACAACATCCTGGAACTAAGAAAACTGACTCTAAAAGACCGAGTCGAAAGGTGGCTGGATCAGGTAGATGGAAGACAACTGGTTCTTTGACTCATATAGAGAAAGAAGGAGTCGAGGTCGGTACAATGCAACATATAACTTTCAAAGCCAACAGCGAAGCAGAGGAAGAAGATGAGATAACAACGGGTTGGGTGATGCATGAGTATGTTTTGAATAAACCGGGATTTCAAGAAGTGGTTTTATGCAGAATCCGGTTTTACCCGGGTGAGGACAATGCTCAGTATGCTCCAAGACTCGAACCCATCATGATCGGACTTGAACGAGAAGATGGTTTAGAGAATAACCTTCAAAACCATATGATCGGTATAAATAATGGTGTTGCTGATGCTGCTTTTGAAGATATCCAACAATACTTGGACGTTCCGGTGGAGACTATTGATTATGATCACTAGTAGGAGTAGTTTAAAAAAAAAAGAATTGAAAGTTTTGCAGTTTGAGAGATCAGCCATTAAGGTAACTTCTTCTTGCTTCCATACTCGTTGCCTTAATGGTTGATCTCTCAAACTGCAAAAATTTCTATTCGTTTTTAAACTAATTAGTCATAATATAGAGTTTAAGGTTTAGAGTTTAAGATTTAGGATTTAGAGAGTTTACTAATCTATTACTTCGTTTTCTACACTGCTTTTATTCATTCTTTAGCAATATCTTGTGCGATTGCCGACTTTCAGTAGGAGCTTCGGCTCCCAAAGGCACGTGTCGTTGGCTAAGTCCTTTCGGCGGAAGCGCCGTTTGAACCACTTAAATTACAATTACAGACTCTTTGCAAGTATCAATAAATAACAACTTTTTTGGCATCTCAAAATATATATATATATATATATACTTGTTGAACAAGAGGAAGACAAAAGTTTAATCAGATATTAAATATTTCTCAGAGACTGAGAACAACAACAACCACAACCCATAAACCAAGTAACAGAGTTGATCATTAACACCCAAAAAAAAAAGAAAAAAACAGTTTCTTTTTTTATCTTGGTGATGCTTCACTTCCATCTTGCTTAATCACAGAACACAAAACTTGTCTTGAGATGTAACTTTCGAGCTCCTTAGAGACTTCCGTTAGCTTCAAGTCAAAGTTACTCCTGTATTTTTGTTTCGGGGATGGCACAGACACAGTGGAAGACGAAGAAGAGCCTGAGAATCTTCTTCGTGGGCTAGAGAATTTCCCTGGCGAAACCTGAAGCTTAACTGCTGCAGATGTTGATGGTGGCAAGTTGTCTGGATCTAACAGCAATCCGAATTTCGTCTCTAATGGAAGTGGCTTAAGTGAATCTTCTTCAGTCTCGGAAACTGGTTTTGGTCTCCTCAGTCTTTCCCTTGCTTTCTCAGCTGCTTGTAGAGCCTTTTCACTGCTTAAAGTGATCAGTTTCCATGGGTTTATGCTTACATGAAAACCCGGTTTCTTGTTGTTGATCTGCGTGGAAGAAGGTGAAAGCCCATCTCCTTCTATCTTAATGGATAGTCTCCTCTGATTCTGTCGGAAACATAATCTCTAATCTTTGAGAAGCCTTGAAAGTGGCAACAACAATACTGTAAAAGAGTTATGATTTGATTATATGCACCTCATTTGTTTTCCTGCACATAAACTTGGAGATGAACGTAGTGTGTATTGGTCTTTCAGGCGAATCAAAATCGGAGCTTTCATCTGAAGATGAATCTAATTCATCAAAGGGATCCTCTTCTGCAAATTGGTTCTCCTCTCTCATCGCTAGTATATAGTCATATGTTCTCATCCCCTGCAAATATTTGAACACTACTTGTCAAAGAAAGAGATCTAAAACAGAGTAAATTCTGCTAGCTTCATGGTTAGGAGACTGCAAGAGACTGTTACCTTTCTTATGAGAACTACATGGAAGAGGAAAAGCTGCCCCATGGCTGCCGAGCCATAGGCCGTTAACAAAACCAACATAACCTGTAAAAACACAAACTTCATAAGCGAGAAGAAGCGGCAGGCACCAAATATCATGAGGAAGAAGAGAATATAAAGAGCACGTAAAGAAACCATACAGATATTGTAGCAAGTGCCCATCTAGGGAACTCTACATAAAGCCTTGTTTTCAATTCGGATTCCATCCCTTTCTTGTCCACAAAACATCTGACAAATATGGCAATGGCTGTTCCACCTTCTATCATTAGCTGTTGCAACAAAAACCAGTCAATATCTCTACTTGAATGAGCCAGAACTTTCCAGGTTTCTGCTTTATAAGTAGTTATTGACAAGGCCATACGCACCATGAGCAAGACGAAAACCATCAGGAGTATGAAAGTGGTGTAATTCCTCTTCCCAACACAGTTATTAAGCCACTGAATATAAACCAAAGAGAAAACTTATGTCTAGATCCCAGACAAAAAGCAGTTTCAGTTGGAACACAACTCACAAAGCCTTACCCTGCAATGATGATCAAACCCTTCAACACACCGGTTACATGTCCTGCAATGCTTACTGCTGCGTTTAACCTAAATACAAAACACAAAGAAAACGTCAAAAGATTGTCTTAGTATCCACAAAAAGAATGTTTATCTTCTTGAAAATAAAGGCAAACCTCTAAATCACAAAGTGAGCAATAAGAGATATCATCCTCCTCTTTAGGGTCTGGTGTAACAGCATCATCTTTCAAGACAAGCGGAAACGGAAGAAGCGGTTCTAGCTGCACGCTGCTTTTCCATGGATCCAAATACGTCCGTCTGATAAAATTCCTCAAGATCTTCCTCTCCAACCTCCTGAAAAACCTCACAACAACTTGGCTTAACACAACCTTGAATCTCAGCTTCATCAAGACTCCTTTAGATTTGGCCCTTCTCTTTTTCCTAGCACTAGTCTTATCCGTAGGATCAATCGCAGTGCACCTAACGAATAGAACTATAACCGAAACCGCCTGAAAGGAAAATCTCAAATAAACTCAGCACAACAAGAAGCTTCTTCAAGATTCTATTTACAAGAAGAGAAATTGAACAAATGCAACATCTTTGATTGATCTCACTTACCACAAAAGAGAAGACCGAGAGAAGTGTGATAATAGCTATTCGATTCCCCAGGAAAAAGCCAAGGAATACGTAGAATGCTGAAACCAGAACACTATAAATAACAGCTCCTACAATCTGCACAAACCAGTACACAGCTCAATCCAGCTAAACCAAAATCAGAACAAGATAATCAAATCCAAGACTATTAATCAAATGAAAAACGATTCAAATCATTCAATTCAAATTCAAGTTTTTCTAAGGTGAACCCATAAAGTAAGTTAATTTGCTCAATTACACAGCTTAATCAGTAAAATTTAGAAACATATAGATCAAACACTGATTCAGCTCAAATGACACAGATATCCATAGATCAGCTCAAGATTGAGAGATTATCAACACAGAACGTTCGCTAGCTCCCAAAGAATCGCATCAAGATCAAATTAAAGCCAATACATTCCAAATAAATTAAGAAACTTTTCAAAAAGAAGAAATTTTTCAAAAAGAAGAAATTTTTCAAATCTGAAACCTGTAATGGATGAAATGGTCGTTGCCAGCCATGGCGCCGTCTCGTCATGTTAACTCCGTCGGAAACCCTAATTGATCTTACTCGTAACCTTCATGAGTCCATGGCAGCTCTAAGCTTCGAAGATTACAGAGATGGAGACAAATGCTTGGGTTTTATTCTCAGTATTGATAATTTTATTAATAATGTGTGTTTACTTTTTGTGTTTTTTTTTGTTTCTAGTTGAGAGAGGATGATATCAACGGTCGGGTTTTTCAAAATTTGAAGTAACGCTCGGATAGTCGGATCTACTTTAATCGGACGGCTGTTGATAGTCGAGCCTTTTACGTGACTGTTTCCAATTGGCCCAATATATGGTTTAGAACTATCTTGGGCCTATATTGGTATAATTGATTCTTCAGTTAACACACCAACCAAAACTAAGTTTGATTAAAGAGACAACAAAATCTGAGAAGTAGAAATCAACATTTAGAGGTGTTCTATTTATTTGGCGATTTTAATAAGATGTTAGTTTTCTCTTTTCCAACTAACGACAACCTAACAGTTTAACTTTACTGTTAACGTTGACTTATAACGAAATCTAATTTTGCGTGGTAACGTAAAGTAGAGTTTTTTCCCACATAAGAATTGGGGATTTTTTAATCTCAAATTTTAAAAATTGAAGACGTTTTGTTATTTTTCTTGTAAATATAAGAAAGAGCAACAAAGTACGGTGAAACTTTTTTTGATAAATTAATAATAATAATAATAAATATTACAAAAAAATAAAATTATTGATTTTGCTATTGAACATTTTTCTGAACGCTGAACTGGTGGCATTGTGGACAGAAATTTATATCAAAATATGATGCGTTCAACTTGCAAACTTATACATAGTAAAATTGTAACTTAGGTAAAATCGAAAAGTGACATTGTTCAATTTAAATTGTGAGCTCATCTAAGGTTCAAAACTACAACTTCAATTTTCTTCTTGTAAATAGTTAACTTCAACTTCAAAACTACAACGTTCTTTTCCAATCATTTTGAACAAATCTGATCTGAACATTAGAAAGTTATATATATTTTTGTCCGCATGGAGGCTAATAATGACCATGTTAATGTGACATGACCTAGATCCGTAAAACTCCCATATAACATATATACATTCGCTCTCCAGTGGACGAATTTTTTACCCTGCGTTCATCGGCTATTCACAAACAACGAGGTTTCTCTTAGCGAGAAAACTCATATTCGGATTAGTTTTTACCTATAAATTTAAAGTGTACGTTGTTTATGTACAAACATAAATAAACAAAGACCCACACCTCACGTTCGTAAAAATATACCCAATATAGCCAAAATAGAATCCGGTCAAAACCCCTATAAGCTCATGATTCCACATTATTTATATGCTTGCTTATATAATGTACAATAGACAACTGAAGAATATGCGCATATATATAATATATATACACAAATTTTCTGTATATATTGTGTATGTAATAATATAGAAGATAACATATATATATTATATATATAATTATATAAACGTACTAAAGTACTAATTTAGTTGGTGGAAAACGTTGTGCAAGACTGTGGAAGCTGTGGCGAATCTCCGTTACTGCTTCCTCCACTTTTACTATCAACCTTGTTATTATTGTTATTATTATTGTTGTCGTTACCTCCTCCGATAATGCTTGAGATCGCCGCCGCAAGCGCCGCCGTGAAATTTGGATCCATCGCAATGGCAGCCCTAACCGTATCTACCATGTCACGTGGTGGTGCTTGTGGGCCCAGCATATTAGGTAACAATAACTGAGGATGATTATTGATATTAAACCTAATCTGATTAGCGTTTGGTAAAAACGCTGTGGGACCGTACTGGCTCAGAAACTGCGGCGGAAGCGGCGGCGGTTGTAGCGGTCGAGGCGGGTTGGTGAGGTCCAGAGTTATGGTTGGGAAAGGAGCGGAGGCGGAGAGAGTGGCGATTGTGGAAGTGTATGGGAAGTTATGGTAGAAGGAAGATGGAGATGATGACGTGGCGGAGGGGGTAGAGAGAGTTTGGTGGAGGTTGCTGGTGGTGGAGCCTGATAATAGCATGGCGGCTGCGGCGGAGGTGGTTGCGGCCATGGCGGTGGCTGACGGTGGAAGAGGATGGTTATGGTTTCCTTCGTACGTTGTGGTCAAGATTGTTGTATCCTCGGCACATCGTTGGACCTATGTGAATTCAAATAAGCATTTTATTTATCATTTTTCTTGCATATTGCATAAATGAATGGGCTATTCTAAAAATCATGCATTATACTTCTGCTTTACAGAAATAATGCGATAATTTTTATAATGCAAATTTTATGAAGAATTTATCAAATATTTTTAAATATGGAATTTTTTTCGAAATTTTTCTTTAAAACTTCCTAAAATTTTGTTTTTGTTTTTGTAAAACCAAAAATTTTGTATGAACAAATTTTATTTCTTTTTTTCAATATACAATTATTTAGAAAATTATTATTCTTTGATTGGTCGTCCAGTTTCATGGTAGTTCATAGTAATCGGTTAGCAAAAAAACAAAGATATTGCTCTACGTCGATACATAATTATAAACTTCAAATAATTTTTTCGTCTATTATTATGGTATTTCTCATTTCAAAAATCAAAATTATCATATTTATAATTCACACGCCATATACATAAAGAATATGAAGGAAAATAAAAGTGTTGATGAAACTAATTTCGTAAATAAATCAGATTTTTTTTTTTTGTTAAATTCAAACATTACTACGGCATATATAGTTACGAATTATTTACTAACCTGTTTACGGACAGGACATCCAACGGACATGGTGCAACGATAGTAAGCGCGAGGACATGGATTCCCTTTTGCCATCTTTTGACCGTATTTTCTCCATTGACATCCGTCATTTACCTAATCCAATTATAATATTGATTCGTTTTTTTTCTCCTTCAATTCATTATACTATCTATACATATATTAAAACATATATTATAGGAAATTACCGTGGTGGCATCGGATCTAGCTCTAACGGAAACCCTAGCTTTTCTGAAGGGTAATTGATCATGAGGGATTTGTTGTTCTTCATGATTAGTACTCTTGTTTTGATCTAATCTTGGACTTTTTGATGAACCTCGGTGCAGATCACGATCATCCACGTCATCCGGAGATCGTCTTTTCAAGGTGGTGGCCGGAATTTCATTGTTCATATCCATTGGTCTTCTGTCTTGTAGAGCTTGTGAATAAACTGCTTGAGTAATATCCTTTTTTACGAAACAACAATACAAATTGTAAGAAAAAAAAATGAATTAGTTACTCGGGAAAAATGGAAAATTGAAAGAAAAAGACGGTGAGATTATACCCAAAAAAATATTGTAGCTTAGTTTTGGTGATTCAATTGATTAATTTGATCAAAGTTTCAACGTATAGTTTCGATCATATCAATGCAAAGACAAGGTAAAGACACACACACATACGTATGTATACATTTGATAACCACATCCACATATGCAAACACATAATGGTCATATAAGAATATTAAAGTTTCTTAGACAAAGACTCAAATGATGCTTATATATACAGGATCGTCGACAAAAAATATATGATAGAATATGTATGGAACGTACCTAACCTAACAATAAACAAACAAGTTCTAGTTTGTATAGCTTCTAAATAATTACAGTTTTTCCTTAGTTCTTATTATTTCTTAAAATCCAAAACTAAATTTCTTCCTTCAAAAACAATTTTTTGAGAAACAAATTTCAAGGAGCCATCGACTATTAATTATTCTTATGAAATAAAGCTGCATTTCTTCAATTATTTTGCTCATGGCGAAAAAAGTCTAGGCATTTAATTTAGTTGGAGATGAAATTTCTGAATACATAACTGAACCAGATCCGTTAGATACGAATATAGCAGATACAGTTTCAAATATCAGTTGAAATGTAGAAAATTAAATCTAATAGATCAGCCAAGTTGTTAACTTTTTATTGTATAATTGGATAAATCCTACGTCATCAATCCCGATGCAGCGAAGATCAATAAGACAAGGAATTCAATGACTTTCTTAAAAAGACAAGTATCAGAATTTATATGGTAATAAACTGAATTATCATATACTAATTTTTGTGATGCGATTAATCAAGTACCTCGTGATTATGATGACCTTCCACTTGTGTCTGTCTCGCCAACAAAACTCTACTTTGGAGGTCGTTGTAACTCTCACTTATCTCAGCTAATAAATGCTTCAGCTTGTGATTTTCCTCGTGAAGCCTTTCTAGCTCCACTTTCAGCCTACTAATCTGCACAAACAATTAAACAAGTTACAAAAAATATTTACAACCTTAATTGTAAAAAGCATAAATCAAACAATTTGTGAACTCACAACAATCTACAATTATTATATACAGAATTACATCATCATTTTTTGGGACCAAATATCACATGATCACATATTTGTGTATACCACAATGTCTACAATGTTTACTTTCTGATTATTTTGTTTCGAGATAGTTTGTAAATTGATTTTACAATCGTATTATTCTTAATACAAACACAGAAATTCTATCAAAAGGAAATAATAACACTTCAGAAATACTTACTTGGGTTTTGGTTTTGTCATCGCCATCATCACTTGATGTTCCAAGACTTGAATTTACTAAAACTAATTCATCCTATAATATGACGTGAATTTAATGTAATTAATAACTTCCAACATATATATATTTATTCAAATGTTTTGGATTATATATAATCTGAAACCTACGTTAAAACCGGAAGATCCAACGATACTCGTCGTCCTCATATAACTAGGATTGTACGGCTGACTTTTGGCGGCGAAGAAATCAACTTCTTTGATGGACGGCTTGTGATGATGTTCCAACAGAGACTCATTCGGTTGATCATCTTTTGAAGTGGACTCAAGAAACTCGCCGGAGTCCAAGAAAGCAATTTCACGGCGATCTTGTGTGTGTTCTTCCATTTGCAGAACAAGAGAGAGATGAAGAGAGAGAGAGAGAGATGGAGAAAAAAAGAAAAGAAAAAGAGTACATATAAAGACTAAAGTTTTTTTGAAAGAACATATAAAGACTAAAGTTATCAGGATAAGTTGGGTAAAGTCTTAGCTAAAGGTTTCTATTTTCATTTTTTTCAACGAGAAATCACTCTTTTGTCAAATGTCATATTTATTACATCCATAGAGAAAAAATGACCAAGCACCTGTTGGATTTAATGTATACTAGTTGATAGGTTATTTACGGAATTGCATAATAATTTGGTTATACACTTATACCAATCACGAAATTATGCGGAACTGCAATTTTGTTTAGTCTTATATATAATGGAAAAAAAAGAATAACAGTTAAATTAAGATGTTTTTATCGAGTGGTTCCCCAATATTTGTCTGGTTCGGAAAATATTATGAATCAAAATGTTCTTATGTTTATATTTTAAATTTATGTGACATATTAAACTTTTTTTATTCAGGAAGAACTTGGGAGGTTCTTAAATGTCAGATTGATCTCGATATTACACGTTATTTATTGTTATTTTTGTTTTCTTCCTAAATTTGATTAATATTGTCCAAAGATTTACATAGAGACAGAAACGTGTAAAATGTAAAATGAGAAAATTGCGTCGATCGAGTGGATTAATTCATCGATATAGCGTCAGGTACATGTGTCATGGGATAAAAGGGTAAGATCAAAACAGTGACGTGTATCAAAAAATTTAAAGATAAATAAACTTCTCGAGGCGTAGATTAATCGTAACAGCGACAGATTCCCGTTAAGTAGCCGTTAGGAGAAAAGTTGACGGAGAAGGAGGACGTGAGTGAGACTCCAGTAAAAAGACGAGAAGCGTTGTTGTCTTTCAAGTCAACGGAGTTGACGGCACGGCGTAACGGTGGCAATGATCGGACGGTGGAGAAACGATTAAAAAGAGAGTGGGACCCAGTAGAGTAGAGGGAAGAAAAAGTACCTAATCCCCCAATTTGACCATTCATTGAAGCCGGAGCTAAACTACCAAGTCTAAAACCCCGTCATTTATTTTTTCCTTTTTTTTCTTTGTTTTGTTTTTCAAATAGTTCACATTTTAAATCATACTAGTCTTTATTAACAATCATACATATAATAATTTAGTTTTTAAGTCTGTCATCGTCAATGAGCTCAGCGAAGACCGTCGTGCAAAGTCATTATATCTGTATTCTATTTGAAATATTACGATTTGGTAAATTATTTGAGATTCAGATTTGATATCTGTATTGATCCGTTTCTTTTATTTTTTTAGTATACACTTATCAAGTCTTCAATTTGTGTAGGAGTATATGTGCTCAAACCAGTTCATTGACCAAAGTTCATATAACTTTTGTTAACCAAATGGTATCTTAATTTGTTTTCATTTCTGAAATTAAGGATATACAGTAAAACCTATATAAATTAATAATATTGGGACCATAATATTTTATTAATTTATTATAATATTAATTTATCTATAAATTAATAATTATTGATTTATAGAAAAAATTTACTTTCTGCATATAATTTCTAAAAAATTCTTTGGAGTAATGTTATATTTTAAAATTTTAACAAATCTCATAATATAAATTATAATTAACGATCATAACTATCGTAATAAAATAGTTTTTAACACTATATTGGATTGTCCATGTAAAAATATTCATGTTTATAAGTTTAAAATTTATAAAAAACATGGTTATTATCATAATACAATGATAAAATTGAAGATAACACTACAATATATTCTAAAACATTTACAAGTAAGAAAATCAATTATCACATCAAAAAATCATCATAAATTTTGAATGTATATAGTAAAACAGCAATAGGAGCTACTGATATAATAATAAGAGAGATGAGAACCAATTAGATTTCAATTTTAAGTATAAACAAACACATTGGTCATATTTTATAATATTCTATTTACATATATTTGTATATATTTATATAATTATTAATTTATATTTTTGTTGGGACCATATATTTACATAAAGGTTTTTAAAAAATTATAATCTTATTATCTTATCGAATTTGATGGATTTTTACATTGACCCGACTTGAGACCAACAAAATTTATTAATTTATAATGATTATTAATTTATAGAGATTCTACTGTATGGTATAAGTTACTAAAATAACTAATTTAATATGCAAAAAGGCTGGAAAATGAATGTAAGAGGGAACTTTTTATTTTTGTTAAGTAGCATTTTGGACGTTTGTTTCCTTAACAACTACGAATAAAGATGCTAACTTAAGAAAAAACTTGTTTGATTGTCTTTAGTTCTAGTATTTTTAGATCAAAGTCTTAGCGAAGGACCATTTTTGAGTTCAGAAGACAAAAATTGTCCTAAAGAATGTGACTCTGAAAGTTTTTTGCTATATGATTTTGATGAAGCTTGTTCTCGATCAGACTCACTAATCATCAAAAGTTAATAAGAATAAAATTACTGAACAAACTTAGATACTTAATTATCTCGTGTTTATGCAGTCATTATTTGAAGATACAGTTGATGTTTGAGGAATTAGTTAAGGTAATATGGAAATATGGGAATTACTTCCTTCTAAAAACAATATATGGAAGGTGAAAAGAAAATTTCATACTGTCTGGTTATTATCATTGAAACACTTCAAATCGTACATTCATTTCTTGATAATCAACTGATTCAACACCACCGTCTTCCTTTTCCATTATCATCATAATTTCCTAAGATTTTATGTATATAATTGTCAAATGATTTACATTTAACTGACTTTTGTCCTTTTCGGTACACGTTTCTACTCGTCGACCAGTCTCTTGTGATTAGAAAATCATTTTTATTATGGCGATCTTAATTTAAATGTCGACATTATCTATCAAAATATACGGAAAATAATTAATGAGGATGTGGAAAGAACTTTGGTCAATGATGTAGTAGAAGATGCCATGTTTCCAGTTGACACTGAAATCTACAGCTGGAAGGTCCTTTTCCTTAGGGTTTTATTTATTATACGAAAAAAAAAAAAATTGTAGCTAGTTTATTAAATATAAGAAAACCGAAACCTTTCATAAGTTGTAAACTTATAATATAAGAATATAGTGAAGATTTTAATACCTTACATAGTTACATACAAGTTTTTTTATTGTCTCTATATAAATTTCAACTTTCAAGTCGTGATCTTTGTAATTTTTCGTATGAGCAGATTTCATATCAGCAAGTCAATGATAACTTAATATATATATATATATATATATATTTTTTTTTTATAACTTAATATATATTTTAAATAATGAATTTCGTCTTGTTCTTAAAATGACTGAAAAGAGCATAAATAATTGTTTGTATAGCAATGAAAATAGTAAATAATCAAATTCTAGATTTTTATTAATCCGTTTTCGATTCCTAAATCCTTAACAATACTTTAATGAGAAAATATAAGTACTTATGGTATTAAAGCTAAGATGAAGTTAATTAATGACTTGCCTTGAATCCGTTCTTAAAAATCAAACTAACTAGTAACTAGCATATGTTAATGAGTTCTTAATGACTTGTTTTCTCACAATTTTAATGTGAAGTGACACTGTATTCACGATACAGTATATGCAAAATGATAGATTAATTACTACAATTTCACGAATGATATGAAAACTTAGCATAGATTCATGTTTTATCTTGTAACTAAAAATTAATGAAAATGATAGATGAATATAAATTGAAAGAATTATAAATATATAAGAAATATTCTTTATCCAAGACGATTAGTACCTCAAAACATTTCAAAACTTAGTTTGGTCTTATCAATATTACGTTATATATATTGTTTGCCGCTAAATATTGCGTTTACTTAAGAAAATGGTTTACCATTTATATTTATAAGATGAAAAGACTCATCTTTAAGACTATATAACCAACTATTTTCTTTTTCTTTTTCCAACATATATAAGCAACTAGTTGCCGAAGGTATTACATATGTTATATGTATTACATATACTATATGCCGAAGGTTTGTAGCTTTTTGAATTTGACAAGATTTGTAGCTTTTTGGAAATAGTACATGTATTACATGTACTAATGTATTACTCCAGGAACAGAAAGTATTACATATACTATATGCCGAAGGTTTGTAGCTTTTTGAATTTGACAAGATTTTACGTTGAACATTTATTACTTTACAAACAAAACAAAACTAAAATTGGAAATAGGGAAGAAATCGAGTAAACGAAAACGGTGTTTAGGTAAAGCCCAAAACAAGCAATAAAGAGGTGTAGAATAAAAAGTCTACAAAATCCCACACTTCGCCCACACGTTTGGGAGGGGAAAAAATGAAATTAAAGAGGCCAAAAATGGTCCACTTTTTTCTTCATTTTTTAGCAATATGTAACGTACAAAATACGTTACCAATATGTGTGTAATATATCAAATTTGAGGAATTTCTCGTGCAATATGGCCCGCGGCTATTTTCTCGTAGTTGTTAACTAGTGGGCGAATGTGAAATTCTAGCTAGATTTATTTATTAAGTTTGACCTCCTAGCTACTTATATTTACTCTCCTCACATGCAAATATACAGTATCATTTTAACGAAAATATATTTTAGATAACCATAAATAATCCAATATTCTATAGCTTGGGATCATGTACCTATAAGTAAATGCATAAAAAATGGACCTATCAATTTTATCACATTGTGCATCATTTAACTAAAGCAGTGTGTTGCACCAAAGAAATAAAAAAATTATAGTGGTGTAGCCAATTATTAACCATTCAGTTTGGTTCTATTATTTAACAGTAATTCCATCATATACTTATTTAGCAAAAGTAATATAGTACTCCATCCATTAAATTTCTCTACAAAAATTTTGGTTTTTCTAAAGAAATAGAAACGCTTTTCAAAATGTACTTGTATATAATAATAGTTACTGAAACTTCTGAATTTTCAAAAATAACAAATAAAATATTTTTGTAATTTGGAGGTGGTGGACTGAGCTTTGTATATCCTCCAGGCACACAAAACCAGAGCATGTTATATGGTTTCATACCAA